GAGCAAAATCTCTGAGGAATTTTTCCAGTACCTTGTTGAATCTGTGCCATGAAGGATTAAGGCAGTTCTGAAGGCAAAAGTGGTCCAAACCAGGTTCTAGTCAGGTGTACCTAATAAAGTGGCCGGTGAGTGTATTTTCTAATGTTATATGTACCTGTGTTAGCAAGACAATATTCTTAAAAGTTAAAGCCGCAGATTGTCATTGTGTGTGTGTTAGAGTGTGCATGTGTGTGGTCAGTAGTTTTTGTGGTGGTTTTATAGCTGGCCTGGTAAAACCGGCACCCGTTGTACCATAAATATGCACAGTCTTCATGAAAATTCATTTATTCATTCATTCATTTATTCATTCATTTTCTTTTTGGCTTAGTCCCTTTATTAATCAGGGGGTGCCACAGCGGAATGAACCGCCAATTTATCCAGCACATGTTGTGCCCTTCCAGCTACAACCCAACACTAAGAAATACCCATACACACTATTGTACATGCTCACATACACTACGGCCAATTTAGTTTATTCAATTCACCTATAGCGCATGTGTTTGGACTGTGGGGGAAACTGGAGCACCCGGAGGAAACCCACGTGAACACTGGGAAAAAATGCCACCTGACTCAGCTGAGACTCAAACCAGCGACCTTCTTGCTGTGAGGCAATTGTGCTAACCACTGCACCACCATGCTGCCCCCTTCAAGAAAAGATGAAAATCAAAGTTTTGGGGGGGGGGTAATTTTATAAAACTTCAAAATCAGAAAAAAAAAAAATCCTGTCGTTAAAATGGTGCACGGGTCATTTTTGACCCATAAGGGAACTGGATGGTTAACTAGACAACTAATCGAGAAGGATGGCGTAGGAGGGAGAGAGAGAAAGTTTGCATCCCATTGTTGCTCAAGGTCACTTTCCTTTCCGCTTGCTGAAGAACAAGCATCTGAGGCTTGATGGATGTCTCATTCTGGCCTGACACTGTGTGCACCGTATGAGAGTGAATGCATGACAAAGCACTCCACAGTAAAGCTCACGAGAGAGTTATGATCATTTCCAATTAAAAGTAAGCAATTCGGTTGTCATACCGGGGAGTAATGGAAATTCATATTCGGACTCGAAAACCCCTCACCCTAAAGGTAATATGATGGAAATGACTGTCCTTATTCGTTCCCCCAAAGCACCTGTGATTTATGCAAAATATTTCAAGAGGTTGCACTGTTGCCATTACAGCCAAAGGACAAGGTAAGGGCATCATGCATGGCTCATGTGCACCAAACAGGCAGCAGATCACGTTTAGGTTCACTCCACATGAAGACGTTCAGCTCTACAGAATGAGATAGAAACAATAGAAACTCATTTATTTTGATTCACCTTTGGGTGTATATTGGTAACAAATAAAATACCTCAAAGTTTCGGGGTATATTTATAATCAAAAAATGATTTGAAGAGTCTATTTGTACTGTTTTTGGTCTATTGTAGATTAATCTGGCAACGCAGTGTAGTAAGTAGTGCTGTCGCCTCACAGCAAGAAGGTCGCTGGTTCGAGCCTCGGCTCATTTGGCATTTCTGTGTGGAGTTTGCATGTTCTCCCTGCGTTTGCGTGGGTTTCCTTCGGGTGCTCCGGGTTCCCCCACATTCCAAAGACATGCGGTACAGGTGACTTGTGTAAGCCAACTTGTCCGTAGTGTATAAGTCTGTGTGGATGTTTGCCAGAGATGGGTTGCCGCTGGAAAGGCATCCGCTGTGTGTGCTGGATAAGTTGACGGTTCATTCCGCTGTGGCAACCCCAGATTAATAAAGATACTAAGCTGACAAGAAAATGAATGAATGAATGAATGAATGTAGATTAATCAATAATTACACTAAAGCGCCAGTAGGTGGCGACTAGTGCTTGTATTAGTATTGTATCGGCAGCTAGCTCTCTGCAACTCTCACATGGTCGCCCACTGAAGCTAAGCAGGGCTGCGCCCGGTCAGTACCTGGATGGGAGACCACTTGGGAAAGCTAGGTTGCTGCCGGAAGTGGTGTTAGTGAGGCCAGCAGGGGGCGCCCAACCTGCGGTCTGTGTGGGTCCTAATGCCCCAGTATAGTGACGGGGACTCTATACTGCTCAGTGAGCACCGTCTTTCGAATGAGACGTTAAACCGAGGTCCCGACTCTCTGTGGTCGTTAAAAATCCCAGGATGTCCTTCGAAAAAGAGTAGGGGTTTAACCCCAGCATCCTGGCCAAATCTGCCCACTGGCCTCTGTCCATCATGGCCTCCTAACCCTCCCCACATCATGATTGGCATATCATCACTCTGTCTCCTCTCCACCAATCAGCTGGTGTGTGTGTGCGGTCTGGCGCAAAATGGCTGCCGTCGCGTCATCCAGGTGGATGCTGCACACTGGTGGTGGATGAGGAGATTCCCCCCCATTGTGTAAAGCGCTTTGAGTGCCCAGAAAAGCGCTATATAAATGTAACGAATTATTATTATTATTATTATTATTATTATTATTATTGTATCACACTGAAAGCACTTTTCAGTACTGATAACGCGAGGCGCAACATACTGCCTTTTTTTATTCTACAATGAGCAGTGCACTGTGCTTTTTATGGAGCTAGGGAATCACCAAGAACAATGTCTTGGTGCTGGAGTGCATGACTTTGGGGAATTTGTTTGTACAGAGCATTTTTTTTGCTGCAAATGCAGAGCACTCTATCAAAAACACAAGGTGCAGGACGAAACATCAAAGTGTTTGTTTCCTCAGCTATAAGCATTTGTTTTTGTAGAGAGGGGTCTGGATGCAGACCTGGTGCAGTGCAATCTGAGCTGCATCCCATGCTTTTTAATACGCTGATCTAACCCCACCCCTAACCCTACCATCACAGTGACGTCACTCACTCTATTGAGTGCATTGTGTCTGCCATTGAATTGCTGAACGATGCAATCTCAGCTAACATTATTAAGGCTGCATCCAGATACTATTGTTGTTGTCAATGGTGGGTCATGTTTTTTGAGCACCTGCAGTGTAGTGGCGTTTTGTGCTCAGAAATTTTTCAAGTTGAAAAATAAGCGATTAGTGTCGATTTTTACATATAGTTATTGAAAATTTAATTAAAGATTACTTGTATAGTGCTTTTCACAATAATTAGCGTTCTTTACAAAAGGTGCATATTGTTTCTACATTCATTCATTCATTTTCCTTTGGCTTATTCATCAGGAGTCGCCACACTGGAATGAACCACCAACTTATCCAGCATATTTTTTACGCAGTGGATGCCCTTCCAGCCATTCCGCTGTGGCAACCCCTGATAAATGAGGAGACTAAGCTAAAGAAAAAATTATAATTCCAAATCAAGGTTAGTGTAGGGCAATATTTGTACTTTAATCTAACTTGTCTTTTCAGCACAGCTGTCAAAAATCCTCCTATATGAACCTCTTGTGATGATTTCAAATTGACCAACCAAGGCATGCTTAAAGTTTAATTCAAGTAAATGAACATAACAGGCTATTTAAAAAAAAAAAAGGTTTATTAAAATTCAACATGAGGTTGTCCTGCTGCCAGTAAATACCTTTATTTTTGCTGTTCTTTACAATAGCATGCTTTTCTTGGATCTACTATAATGGTACTTAATGGAGAAAATACAATATACTGATTATTTTATGGTTTAACCTAATCTATCAGCTGTATTTATAAGTTTTTCCCTTACATTTACTGTATTGAATAGGTGTTAGTTTTGTTCACCATTATTGGGAATGGTTTATTTCAGGTAAATGAAAATAACATGAACATATTTATTAAAAATGTCTTAAAAATAAGGTCCTGCTGCCAGTAAATAGCCTTTACTTTTGTTTACTTTAGCCTTTACTTTACCTCTGCATAATAACATGCATTTTTCAGATCTGCTTGGGTCCTTCACTGAATGGAGAAAACACTTGATCTTGGTTCATTAACCTAATTTGTCAGCTGTATATTGTGTTTTGTATGTTTTTTTTTTTTTTTTTTTTGTATGTGTATAAAATAGTAGGTGTTAGTTTTGTTCACCACCAATATGAAAAGGAGTAAATATATGAAAATACACAAGATCTGCAGCAGAAAAAAGTCATAAGAAATCAAAATGCATCAAGCGCATATTTCTTGTGTGCTTTCATCCTTGCTGGAGGTAGTGTGGGGTTATCCAGCATCAGGTTTAGGATGGAGTAAGACTACCATCTGCTGGCTCGAAATGGGATTCATCTACGCAGTGCATTTAAAATCTGTACATTTGAGCAATTGTTATTTCATGAATATGTAAGTCATAACTTAGTATGCTATATTTCAACAAACCATGTTCTTATTAACTTTTCATCTAATTAGGGGGAAATTATTGGGTATTATATGTTTTACCGTGTATTAGGCTACGACATTTACCTCTAATAATTAATTAAAATCTTTTACATTTTACATATTTTTAAATGAACGTAAAACATTTTAGATTCGTATTCATTTGTATATAAAAATCACTTCGGTCTTTCGAGATGTTTTATTTGAATATTTTATTGTATAAACTTTACAAGACCATATAAATTTAAAATATGGTATAAAATTCCTTTTTAATATCATTGCTTAGAAACATTTTACATGAATAAATGTTTTATTGTTTTAAAATTAAGCCCCAAAAGGGTGTGAAAATAGGGGGAAAGTTACAAAAGTTATTTCAATACAATAATCTAATGAGGGAGTCTTTGCAGATTGTTTGCATTAAGCATGATAGCACTGAAAATAAAATGTACAGATGTGACATTTAATAAGACAAATATATAATTTTGTGGTGGAAGTTAAAGTCATAGAGTTTGTTTAATGTAGGCTATGTTTAATGTACAGAAAAGCGTTTCAGTCGGGTGACCATATTTCAGTTTGCAAATAAAGAGGATGTCTTTGAAAGTAACTACAAATTAGCACTTCTAAATATCCAGTTATTATCACAAAAAATCATCTTCATGTCTGCTGTAAGAGCATCGGTTTCCCCCATAAAGCGCAGTCTGGCGGCGGGAGGGGGCGTCGCCATTTTGTTTGTTTTAGTGAAACTGTACAGTGGGAGGAGAGTGAAAGCTACCATAGAAACGGTTGCTAAATACGGAAAGCTACGATAGGACCGTTCCGCGTAAGTACTTTCGGAGAAAACATAGGTAAAAATACATTAAAGTGCATGCACAGGAATCATAACCATTCGTTTGCGGCATGGAACTTGCTAGAAAATCCATTCCGTCTCCTTACGACAGGTGACAGGCGCTAAATGATAGTCGTTTTTGTGTTATGGACAAACAATAATGCTTTATTAACGCAATAATGACTATGCAGAATGCGTTTGCCGTCTTGGAGAAATCCGCACATGGGCTCAGATCCAGGCAGATGTGGATCTCGCGACAGCAGACCGTTGCTGCTAGCGCTTCTTTTAGCTGCAGCCTTTCAAAACGCCTGTCCATTGACATTTTTAAAATGGTCATATATTTCATAGGCCGTGACATTGCCGGAATAATTGTTAGTGTAATAATAAACATACAGTGTGCGCGCACTGTATAGTCAAAGTGCGCGCATCACAGGCCCCCGCCATCACTGACAGTCACACACACCCATTCATCTGCCCATAGAGCTCTTTTAGCAAAACATTCACTCTGGAAAACGAAAGCATATTATTAGAAATGTTAAACATGTCAACATATAATTAGAACACACTTCATCGTTATTAACATTGAATTGAACGGTTTTTTTTATTGCTACACTTCTATTACTATATTAAATATGGACCATTTCAGTGGGACGATGTCATTGAAAATGCCCATAAAAATTTCCTGCTTGCCAAACTATTTCATAACTGTAACAAGAGGCAATTCAATCATAACTTAATGTTAAAACAGCCATCATAACAATATTTATCAATATGTGGAGCTTTTTGGATTCCCCAAAGCTATGGGAATTAAAACGATCATTGTTACGATCATTGTTATTGTTTACATGTCTCAGAATGGTCTATATATATATATATATATATATATATATATATATATATATATATATATATATATAGGCTTTATATATGCCTTTATATAATTTGTTTCAATATTATTCATTATATTTCTGAAAATAATAAACAAATTTTGTAATATTCTTATTAGATATCTAATTGTTATTGTGTAAAATAAAACCTTCACTGCAAAAAATGCTTTTCTTACTTTGATTTTTATAGACAAGCAAAACATATTGTCTTGTTTTGAGAAATAATATGCCAATACTAAGTGAGTTTTACCTTAAGCAAAATAATCTTATCACAAATCGAAAAACAAGATTATTTTGCTCACCCCATTGGCAGATTATTTTGCTTGATTTGAGGAAAAACTCACTTCATTTTGGCATATTATTTCTTAAAACAAGACAATATGTTTTGCTTGTCTAGAAAATGCTTCTTGATTTAAGAACGTTTAGATATTTGGACTAGAAACAAGACAAAAAAATCTAAGTAAGAAAAGCATTTTTGCATTGTTTTTACTTACCTGTTTTTACTCGCAATGTTGAGACTTGAGTTATGTCAGTAACTACCTAAAATAAGGACAGAAATACACTTTAAAGTTTTATTCAGATTAATAGTCAGCTTTTTGAATGTCTGAAGTGCATAAAGCCTTACCATAACATTATTTCTGTATATTACACTTGGGTAGAGGAACGTTTGTTTACATGATAAAGTAAAAAAAGAAAAAGTCTCAAATGGATGCTCAACCGAAAAAAGCAGAATAAATATAAATAAATTTGCCAACAGCAAAGCTTATAAAGCTTTAGCGTTGCCACTTTTATATTTGCTTTTATGAATAATAAAGATCAGTCAAATTACTAATTGTGATTTTCTTCTGCAGGTTCAGCGTCCCCCACCACCTCAGTGTGAGACGGTGCCGGGACGATGTTTTACGCCCACTTTGTCCTCAGCAAACGTGGGCCGCTCGCCAAAATCTGGCTGGCGGCCCACTGGGATAAGAAGCTGACCAAAGCACATGTGTTTGAGTGCAATCTGGAGAGCAGCGTGGAGAGCATCATCTCTCCAAAGGTTAATGGATTCTCTGGGAATCATGCTGTTTTCGCTTGTTTTGTTCATGTGATTTTTTGTTTTTAAATGCCATGACAGAGCCTAAAATCTCTTGCAGCCTTTTTATTGATCAATATATTTCTCTATATTCACTTCAGCAATTTCCAGAATAAATTCAGTATAGAGGTAAACATTATACAGGTGCTGGTCACATAATAAGTATAATAATTAGTTATAATTTTGTTGTTCAACAATGACTTGACACAAGGAATGGGACAGCTAAAACCCATGCCTTGCATACGTATGTGTGTAGTGGTTTTTGAAGCACTGACTTCAGCTGCAGTCCACTCATTGTGAATCTCCCCCAAATTCTTAAATTGGTTTTGTTTCACAATTCTTTCCAGGGTGCGGTTATCCCAATTTGCTTGTACACTTTATTTCTACAACATCTTTTCCTTCCCTTCGCCTCTCAATTAATGTGCTCGGACATTCAAAGGCCTTTACGGGTTTAGAGTTAATGAACTGATTAGAGTGCAGTGTTTCCTTTAGGATTTTTTCCAGCTGTGGCGGCAGGCCTTTTTTACACAGATCTACCAACTACCTGTGGCCCTATTTCAATGACAAATGTCGTGAGCGCAGTATTAGAAGCAGAGATCGCATTTATGTCATGCTTGCAGCATGCAGATCTCTTTGCTTGCGCGCTGATTTCCTCTGCTAGTGCACAAAACTTCTTGCACGCCACCTCAAATATAAGCCACTTCAAGAGCGCGCAGATCTTCTTGTGCGCTCTCAAATAAACGCTGCTGAGGTGCAATTTAGTGCGTTTATGTAACAAGTATGTCTCCAGCATTTATTAGATTTGCTAGAAATATTTATAAATGTCTCTAATAGGCCTACAAAGTGATATTAATGCGTCCTAAAGTAAAGTGAAACGGCTATGCGTCATGTTTGCTGGCCTCACGCATCACGCACCTGTCAGTCAGCCTGTAAGCTTGTAACCATAACGGGGTAAACAAATAATGCACAGCATTACTACGGTTACAGAGGAGTTCGCGCTGGCATTATTCACTCATCTTTTAATACGTTTTGGAGCGATTATTACCCGCTATTAAAAAAATAAAATGTTTTGAATGAGAAGTTGTAATGTAGCCGTGGCGGGATGAATTTTGTTGTGGCGCCCCGCTAGGGCTGCACGATATTGGAAAAAATTGACATTGCGATATTTTTTTTCCCTGCGATATATATTGCGATATTTAGAAATTCAGAATCGGGAGTTTTGAACTGCTCAAAAATTAAATAATTCTATAATAATTTGGGTAATTTTTTAAGCATTTTCATAGAATATAAAAAATTTATAAGTAAAAACACTGAACAAACAGGATCTAATATGTTATGAAATTAATTCTAAATGTTGTTTTTACTGTGATAAAGGTGAGCTCATTTGGTGAATGCAAAGATGACACTTTATTATCACATTTAGGAATTAACACGAGTGACAAAATAAGTAATTTAACTTTTTATTCAACAATTACAAACCTTTTTATTACAACTATTACAAAACAGAAGGAAATATCTTGTCACAAAATTGTAAAAATATAAAAACAGCTAAACACTAACCCCCTGAGTGGTTTAAAAAAATAAACATGTTATAAAACAAATAAATTGTGGATAAGATAGACTTGTTCTAATAATTACCAAACAATTAACTTTACAATAAATTAAATAATATGGCAGTTATATATATATATATATATATATATATATATATATATATATATATATATATATATATATATATATAATTTTTTTTTTGTGTGTGTGATTTGCATCACACCTCCTGCGATGTGACTATTGCGGATACGCACATCGCGATTTCGATGCTGAAACGTAAAATGTAGCGTGCAGCCCTACGCCCCGCCATGGAAGAATGAATGTAGTTGAAACCATGAAGTGTAGCACCATTTTCTAAGCTACTGATTTTGGGGTTGTTATTAGTTGTCATCAAAGTCATCCAAATTAAAAGAAAAAAGCACCGAAATATATCCGTCTGTGTAGAATAAATGTATACATTAAATAAGTTTCACTTCTTTAATGAAATTAGTAAAATAAATCAACTTTATGAAGATATTCTAATTATATGTCCAGCATCTGTATGTAAACATATTCACCCGCAACCCACACACAGCCTACATACTTATGATGCGGTCACACTAGAGTTTGAGCATGCAAATGTCTGTCGTACAGTGCTGCAAAATGGTTATTGTTATTGAAATAACAATAACAATTATCTTAGACGATTACCATTAAAAAAAGCGAACGATTGGTCCATATTTCGAATTTCGATACAGAGAGGTCATGTTTTGATTGTCGATTGGTCTCATGCAATTACATGATGTGATTTCGCAGGTCAGAGCTTGAACTTTCCAACACAGTGAAACTTACATTTACATTTAGTCATTTAGCAGACGCTTTTATCCAAAGCGACTTACAAATGAGGACAAGGAAGCAATTTTCACAACTAAGAGCAACAATGAATAAGTGCTATAGGCGAGTTTCAGGTCTGTAAAGTCTAAGAAGGGAAGTATTAGTAGTATTAGTTTTTTTTTTTTTTTTTTGTACAGTTAGTGTGATATTCAGAGAGGCAATTGCAGATTAGGAAGTGTAGTGGAGAGTAAATAGTTGAGTTTTTAGTCGTTTCTTGAAAGTAGCGAGTGACTCTGCTGTTCTGATGCAGTTAGGGAGTTCATTCCACCAACTGGACAGATTGAGCGTGAGCGAAAGTGATTTCTTCCCTCTTTGGGATGGAACCACGAGGCGACGTTCATTCACAGAACGCAAGTTTCTGGAGGGCACATAGATCTGCAGAAGTGAGAGCAGATAAGATGGAGCAAGGCCAGAAGTCACTTTGTAGGCAATCATCAGAGCTTTGAATTTGATGCGAGCAGCAACTGGCAGCCAGTGCAAACGGACTAGCAGCAGAGTGACATGTGCTCGTTTAGGTTCATTGAAGACCACTCGTGCTGCTGCGTTCTGGAGCAGTTGAAGAGGCTTGATAGAGTTAGCTGGAAGCCCAGCTAGTAGAGAGTTGCAGTAATCCAGTTTGGAGAGAACAAGAGGTTGAACAAGGAGTTGAGCTGCATGTTCAGATAAGAAGGGTCGGATCTTTCTGATGTTATAGAGTGCGAATCTGCACGATCGAGCAGTTCTAGAAATGTGGTCAGAGAAATTTAGTTGGTCATCAATCGTTACTCCAAGGCTTTTCACCATTTTGGATGCAGTAATGGTTGCCCCGTCCATCTGGATTGAAAAGTTATGGTGTAGAGTCGGGTTGGCAGAAACTACAAGCATTTCCGTTTTTGCAAGGTTCAGCTGAAGATGATGATCTTTCATCCAGTGTGAAATATCCAATAGGCAGGCTGAAATGCGAGCTGGAACCGAGGGATCATCAGGATGAAAAGAGAGGTATAGCTGGGTATTATCAGCATAGCAGTGGTAGGAGAATCCATGTCTCTGGATGACTGGTCCTAGAGATGATGTGTAGATGGAGAAGAGAAGTGGCCCAAGAACAGAGCCTTGAGGTACCCCAGTGTTTAGATGCTGTAGGTTGGACACCTCTCCCCTCCAAGACACCCTGAATGACCTGTCAGAGAGGTAAGATCTGAACCATTGTATAACAGTGCCCACAACGCCCAGTGACTCGAGCGTAGATAGCAGGATCTGGTGGTTGACAGTGTCAAAAGCAGCTGACAAGTCCAGCAAAATGAGGACTGATGATTTAGAATCTGCTTTAGCCAGTCTGAGATCCTCCACAACCGAGAGCAGGGCAGTCTCAGTTGAGTGGCCTTTCTTAAAGCCGGATTGCTTGTTGTCCATGAGATTGTTTTGAGTAAGAAAGTCCAGAACTTGATTGAACACTACTTTCTCCAGAATCTTGGCCATGAATGGAAGCAGGGATACAGGTCTGTAGTTTTCAAGTAGCGTATGGTCCAGGTTGGGTTTCTTTAGCAGTGGGGTTACCCTAGCCTGCTTAAATGAAGTGGGGAATAAACCAGAGTCAAGACATGTGTTAATTATGTGAGTCAGTGTTGGTATGACTGCAGGAGAGATGGCTTGCAAGAGATGAGAGGGAATGGGATCGAGTGGACAGGTGGTTGCATGGCTAGATAGCACAAGTTTGGACACCTCAGACTCAGAGAGCTGAGAAAAAGAGGTGAGTGTGTGTGGTGTTGGTGGTGTACCCTGCGTGTTTGTTGTAGGTGCAGCAAATTAAACACTGATTTTTGCAGTTTTGGTGCAAAAGAATGTAGCAAAGTCATCAGTGGTAAGTGTGGAGGATGCGGGTGGAGGAGGAGGATAGAGGAGGGAGGAAAATGTTTTAAAAAGTAGGCGAGGATTAGTGGCATTGTTGATTTTCAGACGGTAATATGTCTGCTTTGCAGAAGTAACCTCAGCTGAGAAAGAGGACAGAAGAGTTTGGTATGTTAAGAGCTGTGCAGGATTTTTAGTTTTCCGCCAAATTCTCTCTGCAGCCCGAAGTTTTACTTGTCGCATGAGCTTGCGTTTCTGTTCTATCGCGTTCGCATGCATATAAAAGGAAGTCTATGGGGCGAAATGTGCAGTGTGACCGCAAATTTACTCTGTGCATCGGGTACCGTGCAGGTCTCTAGCTCAAACCGGCCATGTCTACTGAAAAAAATTTCCCAAAAATATGTAGCTATCATTTTTGGTGGGTACTCCACACCCCTGATAGCTACTATAAGCTACTTTCTATAGATCTAGCTCAAAAAGTCTACTGAGAAATCTCCCAAAAACTATGTAGATATCATTTTTTTATGAGTATCGCACAACCCTATAATTTACATTTAGAACAAACAGTGAAACTCTCCTCAAATAATGTTCACAGTCCAGAGTTTACTCCAACATAAATCAAAAACCTCCCTTCTAAAATCACATTATAAATAAGCTCCCTCTAATATTTCTTGCTAATTGACATCAAGACTGAGCAGCTCTCTAACGCATCTCCATTTACTTCTAACGTGTGTTTAATTTGATAGGTAAAAATGGCTCTCCGTACTTCTGGTCACTTACTGCTGGGCGTGGTGAGGATCTACCACAGAAAAGCCAAGTACCTGCTGGCAGACTGCAATGAGGCTTTTATTAAGATTAAAATGGCTTTTCGCCCAGGTAACTTGTGGCTGTAGCACATCAGAAGTTGATCTTGCTGTACCGCAACAGATGGATGATATATTATGGTCTGTTTGAATCAGGTGTGGTCGACCTGCCTGAGGAGAATCGCGAAGCCGCGTACAACGCCATCACGTTACCAGAGGAGTTTCACGACTTCGATCAACCTCTTCCAGACCTTGAGTATGTGCAGCTTTTACTTTTAGACATTATATATATATATATATATATATATATATATATATATATATAAAAGTGGTTATATGGTGTTGAGACTATGCTGTGTTGTGGATTGCAGCGACATTGACGTTGCTCAACAGTTCACCCTGAATCAGTCCCGTGTGGAGGAGATCACCATGAGAGAAGAAGTGGGAAACCTCAGTCTCCTGCAAGAGAATGATTTTGGTAAGGCATGCACAACTGCTTTGGGATCAGTAAGATTTTTTTAAATGTTTTTAAAAGAAGTTTTAAAAATTGTAAAATAATTGTAAAATAGTATTATAAATTTGAATCATTTACTTAAACATTTATTTGGAATAATTTAACCATTGAATGTAGTTTAAAATTGTATTTATTCTTCTGATTTGCTTTTTATTACTGATATATACTCCAGGCGTCTGTGTTCCATATTTATATATTTTTTAAATGTAAAAACTGAAAAAATAAATATATATATGTATATATACAGTTGGTCAAAATTATCAACCCCCACTGTTTATTTTTTCCCCCAATTTCTGCTTAACGGAGAGAAGATTTTTTCAGCACATTTCTAAACATAATAATTTTAATAACATGTTTCTAATAACTGATTTATTTCATATTTGCCATGATGACAGTAAATAACATTTGACTAGATATTTTTCAAGACACTTCTATACAGCCAAAAGTGACATTTAAAGGCTTAACTAGGTTAATTAACTTAACTAGGCAGGTTGAGGTAATTTTGCAAGTTATTGTATAATGATGGTTTGTTCTGTAGACTGTCGAAAAAATATATAGCTGAAAGGGGTTAACAATTTTGACCTTAAAAGGGTTCACAAAAAATTAAAAACTCCTTTTATTCTAGCTAAAATAAAACAAATAAGACTTTCTCCAGAAGAAAAAATATTATCAGCCATACTGTGAAAATTTCTTTGCTCTGTTAAACATCATTTGGCAAATATTTTAAAAAGAATGAGTCGGATTTACTATATATTAAACGGCAATTGCGTTATAAAATACACGTTAAGATGCTGTTCTTTTATCCCACGTGGATGTTATGAGGATAAACAAGAGACCAAGACCTTAAGTATGGTGAAGATAATTGAATAAATGAATGTCAGTTCTAAAAGACACCTCCCCATTTTGCCCAGTAGGCCTACCTTGTGTTTTATTTGCTAATTTAAGCTAATTTTGAGAAGATAAATATAATGTATAAAACTACACATTATTTATATTACGTCATAATACCGAAATGTCTGATAAGCTTTTTATATTAATGGACAATACACAGATATTGATGTTTCTCAATGTTTTTACACTACATTATTTGAATCTACCAAGCTTAGTTTACAATGTTTACACTGCTCTACTTACATTAAATCTGAATCCCAAATTTATGAAATGACAACAGATTGTTCAGATTTATTTAATGTCAGTTTTAATGTTATATGAGTTTAAACGTCAAGTTGTGAATGACAGCTATAAACGTAAATTAAATTGTCATTTTACTTATATTTAACTTAAAAAGTTGATCACATGTATTCCCTAATATAGTAGCTGATATTTGACCGACATATTTTCTTGATAGCTGATTTTGGGATGGACGACCGGGAGATGATGCGGGAGGAAGGTGCATTTGAAGTGGACATCATCCACGGAGCATCTGCATCAAACCTGCTGCTGGAGTCAGAGTCCAGTAGCGTACAGATCGCTGACAAAACCAACCACCTGGAGTACGACCAGTACAAGGATGACTTTGGAGACAATCCAATGGAGAGCACTGAAGGAGGCATGCTGGGTAATAGAGGCATCTATAATATCCCCCGCTGTATAGGCTTTATGTGGATTATGGTTTTGGACTATCAAGATGTGTTTTTGCTCGCATTTTTTGCAAAAGCCTGAAGTCCAGCTTTATAATGCTTTTGATACTGATCTGCTTTCTGTATCTGCAGTGGACAAGCTGCTCAGCAATGAGGACGGAGGGGGTATTTTTGACGATCCTCCAGCCATACCTGAAGGTGTGATGATGCCCCAAGACCACGGTGCAGATGACGACGATGATTTTGACAACCTTTCACGTAAGAAACATATAACATAAAATATGTTAACATTAGGGCTGGTCAATACAACAGTATTACTGCAGAATGAAGTGTGTGCCGTAAAGTAATTTTGTATTCAGTGTATTATTACAAACCCCTGATGTTAGTCTAGGGGATGGTGGGGTTTGACATTTGTGTAATTAAAGTATATTTATATAAACAGTGAATAAGTGCAAAAGACAACCAAAGTAATACCAAAAATATGTGCTTTTATTTAAAATTCCCAAAAGTGAACAAAAACAACGAATTAATCCAAAATAGAGAAAAAGTAAGCAAAAATATACTATTTACAATATATACAACACTTAGACAAAAAAAAGACGGGAAAAAACAAGAAAGCTGGCAGAAGGGACGTGGGCAGTGCTAAAGAAATTAAAAGTACAAAACCCAAACTAAATTTAACTTCCCAGAAGCATCTAGCTAACTAACTATCTGAAAACAATATAATTAACACGCGAAGAGTCTTCCGAGTCCTGACTGTCTACTCTATCTATTTGTCCAAAAAGTACAAGGGGTGGCGCTCGCCCCTAACCTAATGTACTATACAGAAGAGTAGTCCTATGTGTTGCAAAATATATGTAACGTGATCTTCTTACCTGTCCGCTTCGTCCAAGCCTCGTAAACAATGTAAACTGAGAAATGGAATGATATAGGAATAACGGACAGATAACGTGCACACAGAAACGGGCAACAACAAAATACACAGTTAGACGGATATTTCTAAACGCAACGCAATAACACAACAAGCGGAAAAAAAAGCAGAGAAACTGAAGTCAAGAGAGGACTAGCGATTGGTCTGATGCGCGCTTTTATTACGGGTGGTCTTTGCTTATTGGATGTGACGTAAGCGGGAGGAGGAAATGACTGACAGCTAAATGGACCAATGAACGGAACCTGAGAATAATGAAAGCAGAAATGGGAGAACAGAGCGAGAAAGAGAGAGAGGGGGAAAAACACAGAGCAACAGAGCACAAATAACACAAATACATGACAGTATACTGTGAAATGTAAATTAGTGGGTGTGGCCATCTCACTAGGGATGCACCGATCCCGATACTTGGATCAGATATCGTTTCGATACCGCATATTTTTGTTGGATCAGGTATCAGCCAGCTGGTACCGATCCAATTCCGATCTTGCACATGCGATATATTCAGTGTAATTTATGAGCCAACAAAAGCCATGTAAGAAGCCTATTATAAGGCACAAGAAAGTTGTCATGTAGGCCTACCATATCCCAAATGTTCTAAAGCCATTCTATAGTTTAATGTATTTAAAGTAATAAAGGTTAATAAATCTATTATGAGAAAATTAAGGCCCTTAAAAGGTATTAAAAAGTCTTAATCCAAGTTTTACGAGGTCTTAATTTTTGTTCAAGCGTTGTACAAAGTGTTTGTCTCCAAAAAAGCATAAATATATATATTTATCTCCTAATATTAACAAGGACACGCACAATCCACGCGATTGGTTCAGGCCGGGGCGTGTCCGGCCAAGCTCCTCCTTCCAGGTGATGTCACTTAATTTACGACAAACGCGGGTAGGGGATGTGATGCTCTCCACATGTACCGAAACCATAGTGGGAAACAGACTGCAAAATTTTAAACAGTGGCTGAAACCTGTCGCTGAAAACCACCACGTAATTTATTCTTTCAAGCTTTGTTTCTTCCGTGCTTATCTGAGCTCTGTTGCATGGTTGTGCTCCATTCATTTATTAAGCTACAACCGTTTATTAACAACTGGTTATTAAATTAAAGGTTTGATACTAATTAGAACTTGAAGTGGTGATGAGGTCCTAAAATATTCTGAGAAGGTCTTTAAAAAGTCTTTGAAAGGTATTGAACTTATTTTTAGGATTTCTGCATATACCCTGAAAGTACAGATGAATATTCAAGTGGTTACATTCATGTTCAATTCAGCTCTTCCCTCCGCTGCGCCTGTCAATCATTCTCCTTTCATTCACAATTCAAACTGCGTGTCGCGTTCGTTTATAACAACAGGAAAAACTTTCTCCAAAACTATTTGTTCCTGTTAGTTTAAATAATTAGTGGAGAAATGGATGCAGTTTGGCATTAAATGGGTTCATTTTGGTTTCTAAATCATGTTGCTCTGTGTCTGTTAAATCAGCAAATCGCATTCACAACACTGGAGTGAAGTGGAGTGGGTTATTACCTGCTCTTCACACAGAAAGTAGGGCTACCTGACACTTTAAATTAGAAAAGGCTCAATAATACATTGGGACAGATCCTTAACACACAGATATCTTCCCTTTGTGCTGTTGTTTTGAAAGTATCCGCAGATACAGGAGGACTGCGCGCTGTGTGATGCGTCAAGCGCGTCATTCACGCACCGGCAGCATAGACATGATGTTCGTCACTCTGTAAAACCGCTCTCACAATGAGTTTCTGTTCTCTCATCATTCTGACTAAGGAGAACACTTTAAGTGCTGCGAATAGTTTGCAAAGCCTGGCTCATTGTAGTCAAAGTAGTTTATTAATAAAAGTGAATCTGACGGGTGCAGTATGGATTGTCATTAACAGAAATGATTTAGCCTAATATAGGCTACTCTGAAACTGTGAATATTTCACTGTCATTTTATTTATATTCATATTTTATTTAACAGGCCATTTTTTGTTTTGGCGCTAAAGCATACAAGTGGACCTTGTTTTACAGTGAGTTTAGGTGAGGGAAAGTTTATTAGGTAAAACTGGCCTCAGACAGTTTTTGTTTAGTCTCCATTAAACCTGCAGGAAAATATCAGGCTTTAAAAGGTTAATTATTTTACCAACGATTAGGATCAACAGTGGTATCTATTATAGATTTCAAAGAAAAATCTTAATATTAAAAATGGAAACATAAGCTGGACGACAACAGATCATATCAAGGTCATAATGAATGCTCAAACAATGTAGCCAAGTTTATTAGGTCTGTTATTTTTGCATAAGAGGATAAAATTATTTGAGTTTATCACCAGAATTATAGAAACTGTATTATGTTTTTAAAAAAAAATGCATTGGGATCGAATCTGTATCGGTCGATTCTCAGAATTTTGGTATCGTGATCGGATCGCTTCCAAAGAAATGGCATCGGTGCATCCCTAAATCTCACAATCAGCGAGACTGGAAGTGTTGCCAAGTCTGCGGTTGTTTATTTTTGAAGTGTCCTTGAAGTGTTTACATATTTATTTTACAATTTTATTTTAGTTTTCTTTTACTGTTACTTACCTGGGATATATTGTATATCTGTGAGAATATGTTACTTCAGTTTCTTAATGTTACCTTATTTATAATCATATCGTCTGTTAAAAAACAACTAACTGTGAAATGTGATGTACAGTGAAATTTTTAGTTCATCTTTTGTTTACTATATTTATGTTTAAAAATCAAATACAACATAATCAAATAAGATCAAATCCTTTTCTTTTCTTAAATACTCAAGCTTATTTATTACATAAAGTGTTTTTGTACATTTTCTGGAATTATTACCTTTATAAAATCCTATATCATGAAAGATATCGTTACCTTAACATTAAATAAACTTTCTCATACTTCTTAAATAAAATTTTGGTCATCCAGCCCTAGCCAATATCTATTTTATGTCTGGTACTTTGCATAGTAATTTTATTTCTTACATTTCATCCGATAGCTGCAGGAGGTCCAGACAGCCCTGATTCTGGCCCTGTGGAGCCTTTGCCCACCATGACAGACCAGACTGAACAGACCACACTAGTCCACAATGAAGAGGAGGCCTTTGCTTTGGAGCCCATCGACATCACAGGTCAGTCAGAAGAGAAAAGTAGTAGCACAGGGCTCTGAATGTGGCTTTTAGTCCAGTCAGCAAAACTATACTTCACATAAACCAGGGCTTGACATTAACTTCTTTGTTCACCAGCCACTGTGGCTAGTCATTTACCAAATTTACTAGCCACTTGGCATTTTCGCTAGCCAAAATTTCCACAAATGCTCATTGTGGATACGTACCCATCTAAATTTCTAAAGAATGCAAATTATGTAGCCAGAGGTACGTTTGGCTGAATTTTGTCTTTAAAATGAACGCTACGGAGCGGTATGACAGCTTCTGTTCCTTTTCGCGGTACCAGCTGACCGCTTACCTCCATGTGTACAGCTTTTTCGCTGTGACCAGTTTGCCCAGTAGCTCGCCACGTACGTTGGCAGACTTGGGACGCAGAACGGAGTTGACCACGATGATGGGGTTCGAATTCGATGAAGAACGGTTTCAGAAACCAGATAAAGCAAAAAATAAATAAACAACAGGCTGAAAACATGGTGAAATGGCGTGGCCGCGGCGACTTTTCTTTTCTAGATTGCGTTTGAAAACACTATCGGTTGGGTTTAGGGAAGGGAGTGGGTGGGTCAGTCAGTCAACAGCAAGCTGGCCTGGTCAGCTGTAGTGTATATTGCGCCCTCTGGTGGATTTATGCGAGAAGAGGACTGACGAGAGAGATTTGGTGGATTTGCAAATGCAAAAACTGTGAGCAGACGTACCTCCGGTTATGTATTTCCCTGTCCCATGTTGACCTGGGTACATATTCGCAATGAGCCTGGGTTGCAAAATATTATTGCTGGGAAAATATATTTTATATGCTTAAATTTGACTTTTGCATTAAAAAAGTACTTGATTTAAAGACATTTCACTTGATTTAGATCATTTTAAAAAATAAAAACTCAAATTATGGTATAAATGGTAGCCTATATCAGCTGCTGTACAGTAGTCAACATTTGAAAAACTTCCATCATAACTCTGGTATGATTAGTGAAGGAAACCAAGGCGAAAAGGAAGAGGAAGCTGATTGTGGACAGTGTGAAGGAGCTGGACAGTAAGACCATCCGTGCCCAGCTGAGTGACTACTCTGACATTGTGACCACGCTGGATCTGGCTCCCCCCACCAAGAAGCTGATGATGTGGAAGGAAACCGGTGGCGTGGAGAAGCTCTTTTCTCTGCCAGCTCAGCCCCTCTGGAACAGCAGACTGCTCAAGGTCAGAACACATCTCTGCCACACACTGGGAGACTTTAATACAGGCTTTAGTGCAACAAAATACCCAAGCTCCCTGGGTTCTTTCTGTTTTTTTTTGGTTTTTTTGGAGTCTTTCTAATAAGGGTGTCCTATTGTGCTTTTTAAGACTATTTAAATAGATATAAAGGGTTCATATGGTCATGAAAAACCTGGAATGGCATTTTCCAGACCTGGAAAAGTTTTAGAAAAAAACATTGCATTGTTTTTCTTATAATTTACCACATATATGAAGACATTACATGAAATATTAGGTCATGAAGATGTACTTGAAAGCCCTGGAAAAGTCATTGAATTTTACTAGTAAATATGTGTATGAATGTTTTGAAGCACTTGAGGGAGAATACATTGTGAGTAAATGTTGATGTGCAGATGTTCACTCGCTGCCTGACCCCTCTGGTGCCCGATGAGCTGAGGAAGAGGAGGAAGGGTGGAGAAGCAGACAGTCTGGATGAGTTCCTTAAAGACCTGGAAAACCCTGAAGTGCCACGAGAAGAAGCCCTGAATCAGCAAAGAGACATCATCGGTGAGACTGACTGACCGACTGATTTCATTGACGATTCTTCTGATTGCCTTATATAGACCTGCATGATTCAGATATTTTTATAAAACCATCGTGGACAATATATACAATTAGTGAAATAATACTATTATAAATACTGATGTCTACAGCACAGATCAAAACAGAGTAAATTACAATTTTTTAAATATTTTATTAAGATTTTTGTAAACCACTTTGGACACTAGGATCTGCTAAATTATTAAATTTAAATGTGATTACATTGTATGGCCAGTAGGGGTGTAACGGATCACGGTTGATCCGTGATTCTTAAAGATCACAACCTACAGTTCGGAACTCACGTGACCTGCGGATAAATACTTTTTTTACTGGTAGATTAATCCTATATTTGTAAAGATTGCAGAAAGATCACCTATCGTGTCATTTAAATCACATGTATGAAAACGTTAAGGCTTTCCTGTAAAATATAATGATGATGAAAGAAGTTGTGGAAGGTTATTCAGGATGTGGTGGGTTTCTTAGGTTATTAAAGGGGTTTTATGTCACTACTTGTTTAGCTTGAAATTCATTCAGTGTAAGCTGCACGATTAATCATTAAAAGATCGGGATCTCAACACCCACACAACATTAATTATAAATGATGGTGATTAGCATATGTTTATTAATCCCTCAAGAAAAAAAAAAATATTTTAATTTAAAATTCAAGAAAGAGATTGAGTCTTTAGTAGGGATGTAACGGTATCAGAATTTCACGGTACGGTAATACCTCGGTATGAATGTCACGGTACGGTATTTATTGAATCATTTACAGGAAAAAACAAAACTTATGAAAATACTCCAAAAAAAGTGCCAAAAGTGTCAATGACATACAAATTAGCCATCTATCTGTAAGCTTTGAAACAGGAACTTCAATTTTAATAACAAAAAATTATTAAACCATGTAAAAAAATAAAGTTTCAATTTAGTATTGTTGAAAACTCATCACATTCAACATTTAATCACACTCAGCCCATCTACCCAGATGAGAGCTCTGCTAGTCGGACTTCTCATCAAGCATCTCCCACTGGATCTAATCTCACTATATTTATTAAACGGGATATTTCATTTATCTTGTTGTCTTTATCTAACGACATATTCCCTGACTTTGGGCATTGGAATCTATTACTTGTTCTCAGGTAACGTGTTTTGGCTGAGCGCAAAGATAAGTTAATGATTAATGTAACCACGTACATTCTGTATATTGACTGATCGCCTTTATTTCCTATAATGTATAAACTTATTGTATGTTATACTTTTAAAATGGCCATTATCGATTCTTAAAACTGATACTCGGCAAAAGAGAGGCTGTGTTTCGTATTTTCACTGAAATTGAAAGGAGGCAGTTGTTATCGGCTCCGTTTTGTTATAAATATCCACAGTGACGACGCCTCAACATGTCTGCTGTCTAAGTTGCTAATATTAAAATGAAAATAGGCAGTTCCTTAAATCATGTTTACATTTTATTGTTGAGAAAGTGAAACAACGAAGCCAGGGTGATGTGAATGAAGTTATAAAGTACACTGTTCCCTTTGAAGATTTACCCGTGTCCTCGGTATAATCTGCTTTTCCATATCAAACTGAGAAGAAGAGACTGCAGCCTTGATCAAACTTGCGAAGTCTGAACTTACACGGAGATAATGCAGGACTGAACTGTGCGTGTAAAGCAGGTCGCACACCAGAAGCGACGCTCGGCGGCGCGCCGCGCAGCGCCACGCAGCACCATGTATTTTAGAATTCTAATCATAGGTTTCTATCAGGATACACACACCGGCGCCGCAAGTCGGCGGCTGTCGGCGGCGCCCGGCGACGGCTCTGGACGCAGTTCATTTTTCAGCCGCGCCACAGAGCGCCATCTGATTAGTTTCATGTTAAATATCATTCGAATGTGCGCGTCTGGTGTGCGATACTTTAATCTGTCATGTACGCGCCGAGCGGCGCTTCTGGTGTGCGACCTGCTTTAGAGTTTTCCAGCTCTTTTCATCCCCGCTTCTAGCAGCACACTCCATTTCCGCATTACTGGATCTGTAGCAACAACAGACCGCAAGGCATGATGGTCAAGCATGGGCTGAATGGTATTGTAGTTTTCGCTACCTCCCGTTCGCTTCATTCGCCTGAGCAAATTTTCTCAGAAGACCTATAGTTTTACCGAGTCATGCGACTTCGGTAATATCGAAAAAAATTAATATTGCGGTATGACGGTATTTACAATACCGTTACATCCCTAGTCTTTAGTCTTTTGAGTTAGTTATGAAGTTACAAACACAGAAGTATTGGGATAACAGTTTATAGTTTATATAAGACCACTGATGTTTATGGTAAAGATTAAAATCACAGTCATATGCATTTAACGATGCTCAAAAATGAAAGTTGTCGGCAGCAATTACATTATTTACAAAAGGTGACGACAACCGGCCATTAAAAATATGCCACTGAATAATTCTTAAAACATGATCATCTAGCAATGAAAGTTGAAGCTTTATGAGTGAAAAACGGAATCATTTATTGAAGTTGAGACTACAAATTAACATGGCTTGTACAAATGATAATGTTAGATTTCTACATTTAGCGTTATCAGCAACAGTAGTAGTAACAGTGAATTTTTCAATTTATTTTTATTCAGCTGATAATTTCATTTTATTTTTAGATAAAAATGCAGGTTCTAAGTTGTGTTTGTTAAAACCAAAAGTGTCTTGCAGTGCTGTCTCTGTAATAAATAAAAAGCAGATTATTTTTCTCCTCCCCTTATTGGTTGATTTAAAAAATGGTCTGATCCATGACTAAAAAAACATAATTTGATCCAAACCGTGAGATTCGTTACACCACTAATTGCCAGTCAATATTATTAGTCTCTTGGCAATATATATTTTTTTAATCTTTATAAAATAAGCTATTAAGTTTAGAAATGTGTTGAAGAAATCTTCTCACTGTTAAACAGAAATTACAGCAGGGTGTACATGGGGGCTAATAATTCCTTCAAAAATGTAACCCCAATTTTTGTACAGTAGTCCAGTAGTTTTTCACTAATGCCCGTGTTTGGCTTTTTTGCAGATCAGACCATCTTGGAGGAGCCCAGTGTTTTGCAGGCTTCAGCCATGGAGGGCAGTCGCACCACCCTCGACGAGTCCGTCATGCCTCCTCCATCTGGACCCCGCGGACAAAAGCGCAAAGCTCAGGACGGAGAGCCTGCCTTGCCTGTGAGCTTGTGAAAATTCATAATTTCACTCTAGCTTTTAAAGCTGTTTATACAGATGGGAAATAATTATAAAACTTGGCATTATTTTTCTCAAAAAACATATTTTGTAAAGGTGCTGTTGACTTGAAATGTTCACCAGAGGTCAGTAAGAAAGAAAGCAATCCTGTCATGCTATGAAAACTAAACTAATTAGTTTAGGAAGAAGTTATGAGTAATAAAATGAAATCACACAATGACGTATTGAACACATGAAGAAAGGGAGGTGTGAAAAGTCATGGAAAGCCCAGACAGCAGCTGAAATCTCTTAGTAGTTATTCCGCAGTTCTGCCCTTTGTCAGTGTAAATAAGTTTCAGCTGCTTCAGTCCAACATCGTCATTAGCAGATGATGAAGAAGAAACCAGGGTGGACATTTCAGCAAGACAACCCTCAACTGCTTTTTAGTAAAAGAAAATAAAGCTGCTAGAATGACCAGCCAATCCCCTGAGCTGAATCCAATTAAAAATAGTAGCTAAAGATCAGAGTTGATAGATGAGACCTACAGAACCATCAAGATTTGAAAACTCTTGAAAAAAATCACACCAGAGCAATGCATATTGTTTGTTTGTTTGTTTGTTTGTTTGCTTAATTTATAGAGCACATTTAAAAACAAGAGATGTTGACCAAAGTGCTTTACAAAACGGCCAGCATACAAAATCTATACCTATTTATGAAAATTAAGCAAAATATATAAAACAGATTCAAATTAATTAATTACAATCAAAGGCAAGAGACAGAAGGTGATTTTTTAGATGAGACTTAAAAGCACCAAGTGAAGAACATGACTGGATCTGTAAAGGCAGACCATTCCACAGTCGGGGGGCTGCAGCAGAAAAAGCCCTGTCACCTCTTGATTTCAACCGTGTTTTGGGGACAACTAGCTGAAACTTGTTTTCGGACCTGATTGGCCTCAATGAAGTGTGCCAGTGAAGAAGCTCAGAGATGTAAATCGGTGCCAGACCATGCAAACTTTTATAAACAAGTAGCAATAACTTATATTGAATTCTAAATTGGACCAGCTGCAGGTGTGCTATTGATGCCTGTGAAACTCCAGAATACAAAGAGTTACAGTAGTCCAGTCTGGACATAATAAAAACATTAATGACAGTTTCCAGCTCTTTAAAAGAAAGAAAAGGCTTCAATTTGGCAATGTTCCTTAATTGATAGAAACCACTTTTGACGACTGAGTTTATTTGCTTGTCGAACTTTAACTCAGTGTCAAAAGTAACTCCAAGATTTTTTACGTGACTGTGGACCTTAGGCTTGATCGAACCTAATTTATTAATTGTAGATTCACAGAGCCTCGCAGGACCAAACACTAGTACTTCAGTTTTTGATTCATTCAAGTGTAAGAAATTACCAGCCAACCATTCCTTGATCTTGTGCATAGGGCTCCATTCTCCATACAAGAGGCGTTGTTACCAAAAAAAACATTTCTACAAAATAATAAATACATCGTTATGAGGCATAACTAATTTTTCTGAATTCATTTTTTGGTTTTATTTCTTTAAGTTTTTACATAAACCTGGAGCAATGTCAACAGCTTCTTTAGAAATATATTTACCAGGAAAAATCACGACGTGTTACCCGCTGTCTGTGGTTTGTCTAACCCAGTGGCTCATTTCTCTGCAGATGCTGGAGGATGATCGTTCCTCCATTGTGTCTACGCAACACGTGAGCCTGCCACAGGTGGAGCTTCCTCCTGAAGAACCAGTCAACATCGCACAGCTCATCCCTGATCTCGACCTGATAGGAGAGAAGAGCAAAGACAAGAAGGATGACGATGATGAAGAGGAGGTGAGGGGACCACAAATCATGGAGTTTAGTGAATCAAGAAAAAAACAAGTCCTGTTTAGTACAGACAAATCTGCAAACACTTTAAAATGTTCAGCACAAACTATAATAATGTATCTTAATAGTAGAGCTGTTTATGATGTTTTTTAAAGATCATATCAATATTTTTAAACAATTTTTTTAATAATAATAGCAATAATTAAACCTTATTTTTATTTTTTTGTTGGCATTTTTAGGACTGTCATGAATACGTAAATATAACATTAAAAACTGATTGATTCATTTAAAATACAGTTGCATTCTGGAACAAATCTCTTTGAGACAGGGATGCAACGATTAACTGGTTTCACTATTAACCGCGCTTTGATTCGTCAAGGTTAATTAATCATAAAGGCTTCTCATCATTGCATTTCTGCATAAAATAAAACTGCAGCAACCAAACAAAGTTATGCCAATTGTGTGCTAGTTTAAAGTTCCAAGCTTGTACACCGAGGCTAATGCCCACGCACACTGAGTTAACTATGGCTGAGGCTATTACCTAAGGGTCGTTCACTTGTCAAGTTTTTTTTTTTTTTTTTCAAGTTTTCACATATTCGGAGTGATGTTGCTAGTGGTAACTACTGGCACCTAGTTGAAAGAATGCAGTGCGTGCACTGGGAGTCACGTGACAAGAACTGACCAATCAGCTTCATGCTTTGTATGGAATACAAACATTTCTACTCCAAAGAGAAAAAAACTCAAATGAAAATACCAAACAAGCTCATAACATTGTCGATCAAAAGTGCCTTTCAGACAGAGGTTCAGCAGCCTTTGACTAAATTTCTTCTCTTTGAAAGGGAAATACTTAGCTAATATGATGCTTAGATTTACATTAGACAAATATTATTTATTTATACTTATTTTATTTATTTATTTATTTATTTTTCTGTCATTTATTTTCAGTGTAAATTTATTACTTATGTTTAAATGCCAAAAAATATTTAACTATTGTTTTTTTTGTATTATTATTTTGTGTTGAATTATTTAGTTACTGAGCAGCAATAAATAACACATTAAATATAAGGAGTTTTCATGTGATTTTCTAAACTAGTAGTGTTTTGAAATGAATGAATGCACAATAATCATGAAACCGTGATTATTCCTTAGACTATAATCGAACAACCAAAATCTTTAATTGTTGCATCCCTATTCTGAGATGCCTAATTGATTTCAACTCAAAAATAAAGTTTATTATTATTATTCAACTGTTTTTATATTAATAAAAACTGAAAAAACTAACAATAGAGTGCCTAAAATGTTAACTGTCAAGTAAACTGTAAAGTGTTTACGTGAAATGAAATAAAACTGATATCATACATGTAATTGTGCTGATATTTAGTTAAAATGTCACTCTTGCTTATGTGATATTACTAGTCTAATTCTTATTCGTGCAATAATTTTCCTTAGGCTTAGTCCTATTAATCATCAGGGGTCGCCACAGCGAAATGAACCGCCAACTCATCCAGCATATGTTTTACACAGCAGATGCCCTTCCAGCTGCAACCCAGTACTGGGAAACACCCATACACACTCATTCACACACACATTCACAATATGGCCAATTTAGTTTATTGAGTTCACCTATAGCGCATAGACTGTGGGGGAAACCGGCGCACCCGGAGGAAACCCACGCCAACACGAGGAGAACATGCAAACTCCACACAGTAATGCCAACTGACCCAGCCGGAGCTCAAACCAGCAACCTTCTTGCTGTGAGGAGATTAGTGCTAACCACTGAGCCACCGTATCACCCCTGAATCTTACTTTATAAACATAAAAAATAAAGATGGATATACCCATAACTTGAATTATAAACTCCTTTTGAGTCGATGCTATTTTTCAACATGCAGTCAATGACTTTGTACCCTTGTTTTTTTGTATTATTATTGTAACTTATTGTAGACAATAAATATCTCACTTTTCTAGCTTTTACAGCTCACTTTTCCCTTTATAAAAAAATCATCCTATCAGATGATGCTGATAAATCTGAATTTGTGTGTAATAGGAGGAAGAAGGTCAGAGCGGGGACCAGGATCAGGAGGAAAGGAGGTGGAACAAGAGGACGCAGCAGATGCTTCACGGTTTACAGGTTTGACACAGTTCAAAATGCTTATATTTTGGATAAAGTGCTTGAAACTGCTTAAAAATACAATTAGGTTGCTATATTATTGATATAATAATAATAATAATTGAGCTTACTAAATAGGAGGTAATAATAATTAACTATTTGAATAAAATAAAAAAATTAACTTCTGTATAAAATCAAAGCAAAATGCATAGAGATTACCACTTCATGAGTGATCAATGCATGAAATTAAAATAAATAGCAATTTAAAATAAAAGATGGCACATTTATGATGTAAGTAAATTACATTTAAGGGAGTAAATTACAATAATTCAGTGTTGGGATTGGGGAATACTATAGTGTACTGTAGAATACTATAACAAGTAGCATCTGATATAATGTGATGAAGTATGTAAATATGCCATTTGCCACACCAAAATACTGGAAATCTTTGTAAATGCATCTGAAAAGTGCTTGAAAAGCTTTATTTGACTTTGGAAAAGGTGTGAGAATCCTGTATTTAGGTTAATATCAAGCACAAAGGGATTTTATGTCAATAAATACACTCTGTTTTGCCCAGAGAGTCATTGCTAAGACTGGAGCGGAATCCATCAGCTTGCTGGACCTGTGCAGAAACAACAACAAGAAGCAAGCGGCTGCTAAGTTCTACAGCTTTCTGGTGCTAAAGAAACAGCAGGCGGTGGAGCTGCGACAGGACGAGCCCTACAGCGACATCATCGCCACCCCGGGCCCCAGATTTCACATCATATAGACTCTTTACAGTCAACAGATTTGATTCTTTTTAATGGTTTTGTTTGTATATGATGTGTTATGTGTATCCGTGCATGTGCATTTTTCACAACACAGGCTCACAGGATACGCACCCCTGTCTATTATTCTGGAGAGCGCAAATCATGTAGCCAGAGGTAAAATAAACGATACAGGGCGGTGTGAAGCCACCGACAGCTTCTGTTCCTTTTAGCGCTACCAGCTGACCGCTTTCCCACTTGTTGACGGTTTTTCTGGTGCTACCAGTTTGCCCAGTAGCTTACCGCGTACATCGGTAGAAAGTTGACTGTGACAACAGTGTTTGAGTCCGGCGAAGATTAGTTCCAGAAACCAGGTAATACAATAAATTAATAAACAACAAGATGAAAACGTGGTGAAATCACGAAGCCGCGACAGCTTTTCTTTTTCTAGATTGCTTTTGAAAACACTATCGGTTGGGTTTAGGATTGGGGTGAGGATTGGGGTGAGTGGGTCAGTCGGTTGACAGCAAGCTGGTCTGGTCAGCTGAAGTCTATATTCAACATAGGCTCATTCTGAAAACATAGCCCTATATACAATTCTGGAGATCGCAAATCATGTAGCCAGAAGTCCATATGGCTGCATTTCGTTTTTAAAACGAACACTACCTCCGTATGGACGGCTTTCCTCGCTGTTACCAGTTTGTCCAGTTAGGTCGCCATGTACGTCTGTGGACTTGACACGCAGAGAGGAGTTGACCGGGATGACAGGGTTCGAGTTCGGTGGGGAATGGTTCCAGAAAGCACAAAAACAGAACCAAAAAATAAAACAAACAAGTAAATAACAGATTGAGAATGTGGTAAAATCTGAAAACATGGTAAAAATCAGACGAGGGCTTTTGTTTTTCTGGATTGCTTTTTAAAACTGTTGGTTTTGTTTAGGGAAGTGGGTGAGTGGGTCAGTCGGTGCTTTTAAAAACACTATTGGTTGGGTTTGGGGAAGGATTAGGGGGGTTAGTCGATTGGTCAGTCATTCAGTCAGTCAAACAGTCAGTGGACAGCGGCCTCTGGGAGAACAGCAGGTGCGAATGGCACTCGCAAGGGGAAATATGAGATCTGAAAAAGCATACACACAGGGCTCTGGTGGATTTGCAAAAACAGCAAAAAACAGCTTCTGGGATGTATTTGACTGTCTCCAGAAATGTATGTAGAAGTAGGTTTTCAGTATGAGTCTTTTGTTGTGTATATTGCGCCCTCTGGTGGATGTACACTAGAAGAAGACGCATCAAAGAAATTTGAGATCATTAAAAAGCGTACACAGCGGCCTCTGGTGGATTTGCAAAAACTGCAAGCAGCCATACCTCCAGTTACGTACTTCGCTGTCCCCAGAAATGTAGACCTGGGTACGTATCCGCAATGAGCCTGGGTTGATTTTTCCATGTAGATTACATGTGCTCTCTGTCTCAAATGAGAAAAAAATACTTTTATAATGATGAAAAAGTGCTTCTTATAGTAGTTTTCCATTGCAAGCATGCACATTGGGGAAAAGCTAACCTGATTAAGGTTAAAAAACTAATGCTTTTGATCACCCTAATAGAAGTGCTTATTTTAGAGAACAGGATTGTAGATTTCGTATGAAAGTATATTTGTAATTTCAATCATTGCATGTACTTGCAGAGGCCTTCAGTTTGGTTTTATACTCATGTTGTTTCATGTTATTTAATTGGTCCTGTTTTTTGGCATGCTTTGAGTTTAATGTTGACATGCAACATACTTATGTTAACTTCCATGAAAGTGTTTCTTTGCTATTTAATCTGAAAAGATAGCATTTTAGCTGCTCCAAAGATAAATGAAGTGTGTGTTTCTTTAAACAAAAATGCAGTGAATGAAATGTTAGGTCACATGTTTTGGTAACACTTTAGTTGAGGTCACAATTTATGCTATTGGCTATTACCTGCATATTGTTAAGATGTTAACTGTTCATTAGTAGTTATAAAGTATGATCTATTCTGCATCCCTAATCCTACCCAAAACCTAAACCCAACTTCTACCTTACTAACTATTAATAAACAGCTAATTAGTAATAAGCATTAGGCTAGTAGTGTAAGCTAATACTTTGTTTATACCATGAATTGTGAGCTAAACTAGTGTTGAAAGCTACTACGATATTATTTCCAAAAACTCTTCAGTGTTGTGAACATTCAGCCAAAAGCATTGTTAGTTTTGCGTGTTTATCAGACAACTAAACACTAAATGTTATTTACTGTGATATGCACTGCTTAATATTGTGCCATTTGTTGTAAAGATAGTTTTTGTAATCGTGCAAGCACTTTTTAAAGCCGTCCATAGGTCTTATTGATGTTACCTATATGACAACACTCTATTTTATATGTCAATAGCTATTAAATGTCTTGGAAACCACTTAAAAATATAATGTTATCCTACTGAAAAAAACAGCTTAAAACAGCCTAAGCCGGTTGGCTGGTTTTAGCTGGTTGACCAGCCTGGTCTTAGCTGGTAAGGCTGGAAAATGACCAGCTAAAACCAGCCGGGTTTAAGCTGGACATAGCTGGTTTTGGCTGGGCTCCTAGCCTCATCAGTAAGACCAGACTGGAAATGGCTGAAAACCCGCCTGGAAGTGGCCAAAACCCCTCTAAAACCAGCCTGGTCAACCACTGTTTTTTTAGTAGGGATATTATTTTAAATCTTATTTTGTTTTAAAAATATTACTTGACGTAATTTGCCTGTATCCCTGACTTGATACAACCGTGTCATGCCAAATTTGTAATAAACAGTAAGTAATGAAGAACTCTATCATTCATCCGTCCATTAGAGGCCGCTGTGACTGTATGCTTGTTGCCTACCACCGAGGAGGTGCAAGACTGAAAACAACACGTGAACTCGCTGCTGCGGTTTACAGGTTTATCCCCTGCTAGCAAGAACAGGTAATGTCTTCTTTTTATATTTTAGTTTTTAGTATGTCAGTGCGTATTTATAGTTTATGCTACATCTGCTGTAGTGCTTTTGATATTAACTGAGTCATACGTTGACTTTTCCACCTGCTTAGGTTATGTTATTGTGGTAATGACATTGAATAGAGTCAATACAGCCTGTCATACAATGCTAACGTTAATATATCGACATTATATGTTATGTCTGCCTTCAAATAGGATGTATTTTCACGATAATATTGTGTCGTTTGGCATAATAAACGCGTTGTTGTTTATTTGAACGTTTATTGAGAGATTCATGTAGATGTTTACTCTCTATGTGCTTCCTATATAATTTAGTTAGATTTTACATTATTTAATGTGGAGGCTAAGTTAACCTTACGTCTTGTCTTTGGTTCATATGTAACGTTGGTAATAGTGTTTTACACAATATTAAATGTTTAAGGTGTTTTGTCCACAATTATATGTAATCAGATGGGTATCCCAGAATCACACATGCATTAAAGGAAAAGGAGAAGTTTCGTGTAATAATTAAGCTATTATTATTATTGTGTTTGAATTTGGTCTGAATGTTCTTAAAAAAGAAAACGTAGATGTTTCAATAATCTTAAATTAATGTTTAAATGAAGCTTCAATTCGTGTTTCTGCTCATATATTTGTCTTTCAAAATTCTGGGATTGTTTATTCTTTAAATGTGATTAAAAATATTTATTAAGATTTTATATTGATTTCAGTTATATTATTGAAAGATATGCATATGTTTAGATAAATTGTGCACAATATAATTTGTGAAGTTATGTTTTTTCGTCTTTTAGTGGGTGAATTATATGAAGAACTGCTTTTTTTAACCTGACAAATGGTTATAATAGTATTTCTATAGATTTATTTTGTTATTTTGTTTTTATTATACAATCAGAATTATAAGCCCCCCTGAATTATTAGCCCCCTGTTTATTTTTCCCCCCAAATTCTGTTTAACGGAGAGCAGATTTTTTTAACGCATTGCTGAACATAATAGTTTTAATAACTCATCTTTAATAACTGATTTATTTTATCTTTGTCATGATGACAGTAAATAATAATATTTGACTGGATATTTAGACACTTTTATACAGCTATTAACTAGGTTAATTAGGTCAACTAGGCAGGTTAGGGTAAATAGGCAATTTATTACAATGATGGTTTGTTCTGTAGACAATCGAGAGAGAAAAAATATAGCTTAAAGGGGCTAAAAGTTTTTACCTTTTTAAAAAATAAAAACTTTTTATTGTAGCCAAAATAAAACTTTCTCCAGAAGAAAAAATATTATCAGACATACTGTGAATATTTCCTTGCTCTGTTAAACTTCATTTGGGAAATATTAACAGTTGAAGTCAGAATTATTAGCAATAAAAAATGTAGCTTAAAGGGGCTAATAATATTGACCTTATAATGGTTAAAAACTACTTTTTATTCTAGCCAAAATAACTAAAAACTACTTTTTATTCTAGCCGAAATAAAACAAATAAGACTTTCTCCAGAAGAAAAAATATTATAGAAAATACTGTGAAAATTTCCTTGCTCAGTTAAACATCATTTGGGAAATATTTGAAAAAGAAAAAAATCCCAGAAGGGTGAATAATTCTTTAGACTTTTAACTGTATACGTATTTTTAAATCAAATACAATGCATTTTCACAATAATACTCATAAAACATAATAACTTATCATTTTCCCCTCAGGAAACTTCCCATCATGCATGTTTGTCAGCGGTGTGTGAGTGTTTTGCTGTGGAGGCCTTTATCTGCAGCTCTCCAGCAGTCGACACGCTCACTGCATCAACACACACAACACAACATACTGCAGCAGAGCACAACACACACATCCATCTACAGCAGACCAGGAGGACTTCGATACTTCACACACCAACACACAGCTTCTCCAGATGTCCATAACACTGATCCCCAACAGAACAAGCCTGGAAAACATGTTGTGCCGCTAGAAAATTCTGCCATGCATCAAACAAGTCAAGTTTATCTTTCAGGTAATGCAAGTTTTGGTTTATATTCTCGTATCTACTTGCATGTAGGGCTGTGCAAACAATATGGAGATGTATATATATCTTAAAGACAAAATTAAAAGTATTCATACGTTTTCATAAGTATATAGTTCATATTATGCTCAATTTATAATGTGGTGTCAAAAAATACACTGTTTAGAGTTATACTTTTAATATATATAAGCGCAATATTACACAAAATCATGAGGATGCCAACATTTGCATTATTGAAAGTACATTGCATTTTATTTAGTGTGTGTGTGTGTGTGTGTGTGCGTGTGTGTGTGCGTGTGTGTGTGCGTGTGTGTGTGCGTGCGCGCTGTGGTTGTTCATTTGTACACATGTATGTATGTATGTATATATATATATATATATATATATATGTGTGTGTGTGTATATAAATAAATAAATTATATATATATATATATATATATATATATATATATATATATATATAAATATATATATATATTCAATTAATCGAAAATCCTGTTTCTATTTTGATTTTGGCTTTTAACGATTATGAAAAACCATTAATCGTGATAAACGATTATTCCATCAAATACCGCCCCCTTTCCAGTTGTACACATTTGTTGCTCTGCAAAGCTCAGTTCCACGTGAAAATGACTAAAAGCATGTACTGTAATGTAACGTCTGCAGCAGGGGATGCGCATCATTCATTGATGAAAATTCGAATCATTCATATTTTAAAAGCGCGAAAGCGCGCAAGTTGATGTATGTGTGCGCGCGCCGCGCTTAGCCTTAAAAACTTCATGTGCATTTCATGATATGAGACTTTTCTCATAACCCCCAGGCGTTACATGCATGTTAATTATTTGTAATATGCTGATAATTGTGTTTTCTATAGGTCTGGATGCAGTTGCACGTCCTTCTCCACTTCAGGAAATCAGTGATGAAGAAGCAGTTCAGATCCAAGTGCCTTCAGTTCTTCCTGCAGACTCTTTCACACTCAGACCGTATGTGGAGAAATCAGAAACGCTCAGCAAACTGGTTCAGCTCGGTAGGTCTTCAGTACATTCCCATAATTCTCATCCTCTGCAGCCTTTTTTTTTTGTATTGTTGCCCGCTGGAAGAAGGTTAAGAAGCATTAAACGCTCTTCTAATTAGTGTTGGGCGATGTCGACCTATTTGGCATTGTACGATGTCTAATGTGAAACATCCCTATGGACCATGGGATCGTCGTCGTAGGCGGTGGTGAATTAATTATTTAGGAATAATTAATTCAATCATAACAAATGAATTATTTGTAGCCTAATGTTTCCACTACCTGACCTGCATGATCTTTGTTTTACCCATAACCAAATCATAAATGAATAAAGATAAGGTACACACAAATTACCACCTGTCAATCACTGTTTCTGCAGGACTCTGGCATGAATAGGCAGAGTGATCTGTGTCAATATAATGGCGTCGAAGGTGCACAGCCAACAGTATCTGAGGTTTTTGCTAAAATGTCTAGGTACTGTACAAGCGTGAAAGCGAGAAATTGAAGCAGTGTACTGATGCTGTGACACATTACCTGATAGATTCAAATAACAGAAGAGTCGTTAGTTAGAGACTAGATTAAATACGTTTAACAGTTATAGTGAGATGCGATCCAGCGGTACATCCATAACTGTCTGTGTGTGTGTGTGTGTGTGTGTGTGTGTGTGTGTGTGTGTGTGTGTGTGTGTGTGTGTGTGTGTGTGTGTGTGTGTGTGTGTGTGTGTGTGTGTGTGTGGTCATGTGATGTGCGTTTTCAGCGGTATAGTGTGGATGGTGAGATGTTCAGAAACGCCAGTGTGGATGTGGATCGTTTTCATTGTAAAATATCATTTTACAACTAAGGTGTATTAGTGTAAACGGGGCCTAAGTGTGTATTTTTCGCGAGTGGGTTGCTGCTGAGGTGGAGGATCGTGATGTCAGCTTGGCATCGTGGTGTCTATTGGCAATTGCCGATGGACAAAGGTATTATCTATCTATCCCTACCTTGTTTTTTAAGATTATTTTTTGTCCTTTTTGCCTTTATTAGAAAGGACAGTATTGAGACAGGAAGCGAAGTTGGAAAGAGAGAGAGAGGGCGGTAGGATAGGGAAATGCCCTCAAGCCGTATTCAAACTCAGGACGCCCTGACGTGCTGCTGCACCAAATGTCAGAATGCTAACCACTAGGCTATTGCGCCGACCAAGCCTACTTCTAACAGATATAAATTTACCTTTGTTCCTTAAGCCATACGGCTTTATAACCTTACATTTAGCAAGCTTTATTTTTTTTTACATCTGGGTCTTTCCTTATTGCTGTTTTTTTTTTTGTAGTATTATTTATGAAGTCATTATGAGGCATGCTGGATTGTGTTTTTAGTGTTGTTTGTTAGTGTTCAGCTCTTTATGTGTTTGCTGTATCATGATGCTTCTGCCCTAATTTAATTGCCCCTGGTGGGATTAATAAAGTTGTTTTTGCCAAGCACAAAAATATGATAATATGATATACTTTTAAATTGGTCAACTAATCTTCTGGTTAACTTCCGAATGTAAATTAAGAAATGCAAAATCCCACCTTCAGACTTAAGACCATTGATAAGAAGGTATACTTTAAACAAATAGCAGTGGGACTACCCAATGGCCCAGCAAGTTACGGAAGACAAAGCCCCTCCTTCCCCTGCTGCTTATTTCAATGTGACTTCAAAATGACTTCAATGTGGACAACAATCTGGAAAGATTTTGTAAAATTTTCTATTTTAATATCTTTAATACTCTATTTTAAATACTTAAAAAATTGCAAAGCATATACTTTTACCTTATTTTATGTATAATATATTATCTTTTCATTGTTCTGAATCTTTTTTTTACATTTTTATTTAGAAAATGTTTGTAAATTTTATGTGTTTTGTCAAATTTGAGACGCTGAAATGTCAATAAACTCAAAACTGTGTGCAGGTGTCAATCTGTGGGATCTGGAGCAGAGGCCTAATGTGGGCTCCATGCTGGTTCGGCTCGACTTCCAGGCAGACGTTGCACCCAGACTGCTCTTCCTCAGAGATCTGGGAGTTGAGGAGTCCGCGTTGGGTCGACTGCTCACCAAGAACCCCTTCATCCTTGCGGAAAGCCTGGACAACCTTCAGGCCAGGTCAGAGAGCGAGATAAGCAAATGTATTAAACTTCTGAAAACTAGCCTTCAGCTTTTATGGTGCATTTAATTCCACATCAGAAGTATTTTCATCAGACATTACAACCTGACCCTGGTCAACAACAAAAAAATTGCTTTATGTATATCTATTTCATGGTGGTTCAGTGGTTAGCACTGTCTGGTTCAAGTTCCAGCTGAGTCAGTTGGCGTTTCTGTGTGGAGTTTGCATGTTCTCCCCTTGTTTCCGTGACTTTACTCCACCTGCTCCGATTTCCTACCCAGTCTAAACTCATGCGCTATAGGTGGATTCGATTATCTAAATTGGCCGTAGTTCATGAGTGTGTGTAAATGTGAGTGTGCAAGGGTGTTTTCCAGTTCGGGGTTGCAGCTGGAAGGTCATCCGCTGCGTAAAACATATGCTGGAATAGTTGGCGTTTCATTCTGCTGTAGCTACATTTTGTTTTGCTTCACTTTTAGGGTGTCCTATTTGAAATCAAAGAAGTTCAGTGCGCAGTCTGTGGCGGCGATGGTGACTAAAGCTCCATACCTGCTGAACTTCAGCGTTGAGAGGCTCGACAACCGACTGGGCTTTTTTCAGCAGCAGCTGGGACTCAGTGCTGAGAAGGTGAAGCTAAATTGCATATAGTTGAAGTCAGAATTATTAGCCCTCCTGAATTATTATTACCTCCCCTGTATACTTCAATTTCTCTTTAACGGAGAGAAGATTTCTTCAACACATTTATGAACATAATAGTTTTAATAACTCATCTCTAATAACTGATTTATTTTATCTTTACCATGATAGGATAGGATAAGATAGAAGGATTTTTTTTTGCTTCTGAAAAATATTACGGATAAGTTTATTAGTACATTTTTTTTTTTTTTTATCAGTCAACTCAACATTGTCTAAACTTAATTTTGGGTTTACAACAGGCAGAATTATAGCAAATATGATTTTTAACAAGTTGAATCATTTTACAAGGATAGATTTAATAACTAAATTCAACATCAACATCTCAAAAAATGTGTTTTGTGACCCTTTAACCATCCATATTTTCCTGAATTATACTCTCAGACCCGTAATCTTGTGACTCGTCTACCGAAACTATTGTGTGGCAGTTTGGAGCCAGTAAAGGAGAATCTGAAGGTTTGACGCTTCGTTTGATTTGCTTATTTTTCAGTATAACATTGTGAAAATGAGACTTTCATTGATTATTCTCCTGCAGGTCTGTGAACTGGAGTTTGGATTCCGTGGGAATGAAATCCAGCACATCGTCAGCACAGTTCCCAAAGTACTATTGGCTAATAAAAGAAAACTCACGCAGATCTTTGACTTTGTTCACAACACCATGAATATTCCACACTCGCTTATCGCAAAGTTCCCTCAGGTACTTATTCATATTAATAAACATAATAGTTTTATTGACTCATTTCTAATAACTGATTTCTTTTATCTTTGCCATGATGACTGTACGTCATATTTTACTAGATGTTTTTCAAGATAATATTTTTTTCCTCAAAGGTGCTTAATGCCAAATTCCTCCGCATCCGAGAGCGCCACTTGTTTCTGGAGTATTTAGGCCGTGCTCAGTACCAGCCAGATCAACCCAACTACATCTCCTTGAGTCGTTTGGTGTTCCTGCCTGATGATGTTTTCTGCTCAGAAGTTGCATTAGCCACTCTTGAAGACTTTGAAAGATTTCAGAAAACATTGTAGCTGTAATTTCATGAATATTATTATTTTGCAAATAAACCAGTGTTTCGGTATGATCCGGTTATGGTGTGGTTCTGTGACTGCTAGTGTTGCTGTATGCTTAAAAAACAATATGACAGTGATTAAAAAGCAACTAGGTTAATTTTGATTTAAATAATACTTTAATATTTTGGGCGGTGTTTGTGCAGCTTTTGGGCTGTACAGTTTTTTTTATTTTTTTTTATTGCATAACCATCAGGAACAAACATTTAACAATAATATAAAAAATTAAACATAAACACTAAAATAACAATAAATAACACGCTAAAATAACAATAATAACACGCTAAATTAATTGCACAAAGCATAGTGTACAGCATTTCTACATCCAATGATTTTAAGAATTGACAGAAATCTAATAAAGTGTTATAATAGTTGATGCATTTCTCAGATTTTTTTTGCTTTTCAACAATTTCACTGTAGAAATAGAGAAGTCAAACTCGATACAAACAACTGTTAATGTGGGAGATGATTTAGCAAATTTCTGTATGTGGATGTAAAATTTTGCCAATAAAAAAAGATTAACAATAAATTCAAGACTTTTGTTGGATTTGCTTTCATAATTAAAAAAAATAATAATAATATCCTTTAATGTAAAATCATGTTTGGCTAATAATAATAACAATAAGTTTGGCTAGATCCTTCCAGAAATTGTTTACAATATTGCGGTCAAAAAATAAATGACAAAGGCTCTCTTTATCCACATTGCAGAAAGCACAAATGTCCTCCATTTCAATGTTCTTTGATAATAATAATTTTACTGGGTAAATTGTACAGTTGAAGTCAGAATTATTAGCCCCCCTGTTTAATTTTTCCCCCAATTTCTGTTTAACAGAGAGCAAATTTTTTTTCAGCACATTTCTAAACATAATAGTTTTAATAACTCATCTCTAATAACTGATTTATTTTATCTTTGCCATGATGACAGTAAATAATATCTGACTAGATATTTTCCAAGACACTTCTATTCAGCTTAAAGTGACATTTAAAGGCTTAACTAGTTAATTAGGTTAACTAGGCAGGTTAGGGTAATTAGCCAAGTTATTGTATAATGATGGTTTGTTCTGTAGACAATAAAAACAGAAAAATTAGCCTAAAGGGGCTAATAATATTGACCTTAAAATAGTTCTTATAAAATAAAAACTGCTTTTATTCTAGCCGAAATTAAATCAATTAAGACTCCAGAAGAAAAAATATTATCAGACATACTTTGAAAATGTCCTTGCTCTGTTAAACATCATTTGCAAAAGAAAAAAAAAAAAATCAAAGGGGGGTAAATAATTCCGACTTCAACTATATGTAGTATTTAAAAATGAATTTCCTTAATTTTATTATTAATAGTGTATTTGAAGAGGGTTAACCAGGCTCTTTTACAATTAATATCAACAATAATAGAGTTCCAGAAAAATTTGCCTCTAGGTGTGATTTTATTTTGCTTCTGAAAAATATTACGGATAAGTTTGTTAGTACATTTTTTTTAATCAGTCAACTCAACATTGTCTAAATGTAATTTTGGGTTTACAACAGACAGAATTATAGCAAATATGATTTTTAACAAGTTGAATAATTTTACAGGGATAGATTTAATAACTAAATTAAATTCTCTAAAGAGTATTGGGGAATTGTGAACAGACATCATTCATTCAATTCAATTCAGCTTTATTTGTATAGCACTTTTACAATGTACGTTGTGTCAAAGCAGCTTCACATAAAAGATCATAGTAAATTGAAACAGTGTAGTTCAGTTTTAAGTTCAGTTCAGTTTATAGCTCAGTTCAGTGTGGTTTATTAATCACTACTAAGAGTCCAAACACTGAAGAGCAATGGTAGAATAGAATTCATATGGTAGAATAATTCCGGAACTGTCAAAAAGTTTTTAAAGATGATTAATGTCTCTATTAGGTGAAGCAGTGGAGCAGTAGGTAGTGCTGTCGCCTCACAGCAAGAAGGTCGCTGGTTGGAACCTCGGCTCAGTTGGCGTTTCTGTGTGGAGTTTGCATGTTCTCCCTGCCTTCGTGTGAGTTTCCTCCGGGTGCTCTGGTTTCCCCCACAGTCCAAAGACATGTGTTACAGGTGAATTGGGTAGGCTAAATTGTTCGTAGTGTATGAGTGTGTGTGTGTGTGTGGATGTTTCCCAGAGATGGGTTGCGGCTGGAAGGGCATCCACTGCGTAAAAACCTGCTGGATAAGTTGGCGGTTCATTCCGCTGTGGCGACCCCGGATTAATAAAGGGACTAAGCCGACAAGAAAATGAATGAATGATTAATGTCTCTATTAAACCAATTTACTAAGAATAAAGATTTGTTTGAAGAGGTTATATTACCAATATTCAAAATAAAGGAGGTGTGAGGAGAAGAATTGTGACGGTAACATTTTCCAAGCAAGAAGAGCTTGTTCATAGTATTTAGTGAGTTTAAAGGAGATTTTAGAAATATTATTGTAGTGGCTATTTTCTCTAAGGAGGCTCTCTCAGTGGTCAAGAAACAAAGTCTTACCCGGGATGTCTTTTACAAGTTTTATTCTTTATAAAGAAGATCACAGTCATAAAGCAACAACAGTTTCTGCAGTGTGAGATACTAAAAGCAAAGTGTGTTCACCTTTTTATCTAGTTTGTACTGCTTACGAGGTCAACTCCGAATAAGGCCTCATCTACAATTACGTCAGGCGTCTTCTGCTGTTCATGCGATATGCTCATAACAACCACACATCCTTCTTAGGATAATGAAAAAGCTTTCACCTAAAGAAATATAGTTATCTATAAAAATGTACACATAGGTTTTATGATAAACATATGGAGAACACAGATACACACACATGTAATAATGAGTCTTAGCCAAGTTTCTAACATATAAAGCTCATCTAAAAATGAATTTCCATTACAATTATAATCACATGTTAAAAATGTAAGCCACCTGTTTGGTGAGGCTGGAAAAAGTTTTTTTTTTTTTTCTTGGTAGAATTATTATTATTATTATTGTATTATGCATTCCAAAGGTAATAATTGAAATAAAAAAACTAAACAAAAACAAAGGGAAGACATTCAAAAACAGATTCATAATAGCTTACAATAGACAGAGCTTTTACATTTTTTACAGCTTTGAGAGACTTCATTAACAGAATAATTTCGTTGAGAAATACCTTGTATAAAAGAGGAGATTTTGAAAGTCGACATTTGTGGATGAAGAATTTACCATTTAAAATAATAAAATTAATAAAATTGTTAATTTGTTTATCACCATTTTCAAAATAATAAATAATTTATTTTGCATTCAGTGTTATCAACATAATATTTTTAGCAGAATAATCGGAAAAACAGTCTTTCCAAAATAATTGCACACTCTGACAATCAACAAATAAGTGACATAAGGATTCCTCGCTGTTTTTACAAAATGAACATTCTTTCTCAATATCTGAAAATGTGGAAAGCAACACGTTGCATGGGTATATTTTATGTAAAATTTTAAATGAATTTCTCTTACTTTATTTGAAATGCAAAATGTGTATGGCAGCAGCCATGCTGGCTGGAAAAAGTCAACTACATCTGGCAACACTGATTGCGTAATCGCCGGACAAGACGTCACGTATCCCACAACCCTGTGCGTTTCTCTCAGAGAACAAAAATGGCGGCGAGGGCACCAGGTAAAAATGTTGTTCGATTTGTATTAGCGTTATGTGAAACTGTGATTTAATATATTTGTTTTCATCAATGTAAAGAGCTTATTTATATCTTGTCTGTCTTCTGTGTTGTTAGAACTACTGTCATTAACCGTGTCTGTCAGTTTTGTCACGCAAATCACTGATGTCCTCTGAGTGTCCCCGTCTGCTTCAATGAGTTGTTGTGTGTTTTTAGCCGTAAATGTGTTGATATCCTGTTTACATCGCTTCTAGAAACTCTTTATTTGGTATTTACATGTTACAAACTGTACATTATGTGGAAACAAATGCTCTTTGATTTGTACAGATCTCATTTAGCCGGTTGTTTGTGAGTGTTTCGTAATTACAACTTGCCAGCTTCCATCTGACAACACAGAAAGCAGAAAAATAATAATAAAGCACAGAAAACTATTGCGTTTTATTAATTTATTAATGTTTCTGCACAGTTGCTGCATCCGGCAGGTTCGTGGATGTCTTCAGGAAATGGTACTACAATGCGTGCGGGTTCAACAAACTGGGTAAGCAATGTCATATCTGTGCCATCTGTTAATCTGGTAAACATTTTAATAGTTTAAAGGTTCATCACTTCTTATGTTTCATTTGTCCTAATTTTATGAATGTTTTAATTCTCTTATGTTAAACATTTGAAATTAGAATACAGTATTAAATGATATCCATACATAGGCCTGTCACAATAATCAATATAGACTCCAGTGCTTCCCACAGGCTTGAAATACACTTGCGGTGGTAGCCGAAGTGAAACAGCCTTTACCCACAGCACTACATGCGGCAAACAAAACATTGTTATTTCTAACTAATTTTATTTATTATGACACTGTTTCTTTTCAGTGGGTTAAAGCAGTGGTTCTCAAACTGTGGTAGATGTTCCACTAGTTATACGCAGGCTTCCTTCTAGTGGTACACAGAGAAATCACTGAAAAATCAAAGTATAAATAAAAAAAAAAGTCTTTTAACCCTTTGATGCGTACTGATGTGTTCAGTAAATTGATTTTAATAGGCTAAACTTGTCATTTTATTTGTAATTTTCTAATGTTTGTTATGTATTCCATGTCAGGGTTCAACACTAAGGATTTTTCTACTGATCCATTCGGGCCAGTGGTTTAGGTTTTTACTTGCCCTGCAAAAATTTTTACTGGCCCCACCAAAAAAAAAAAAAAAAAAAAAGAAGATAACACTTTTTTTTGCCAAATATTTTAAATAATGTCAAAAAATGTCTGTAAATCTAGCATTTCAAAAGTTAATAAATGGTTAATGAGCAAAATTCTTAGTGTTATGCAAACAAAACATCAAACATCATCAGGGAAACGGTTTGAATTTCCGCTTGGTTAAAAAAACAGTGTGCCATTTGGGACGCCACTACATACATATACTATCCTGTTGAGTAAGTGCATAATAGTGCATAGTGTGCCATTTGAGATGCAGCATGCTCAAAACATCACGGACGAACCGAAAAGCAATATAGTATCTACGACATCACAGAGAAGATAGCATTTAAAGACTTAAAAGCACAAACTTAAAATGCACGCAATTGACCAAAAGTGGCAGGCAAATTAAACTTTAGTGACAAGGCAGCACTGTCCTAATCGGGCCAGTAATCATCCTGACTACTGTCCCAAGTGTCTCTCACGCTGGCCCTGGGCCACCAGGCAGTCCTTATTGTTGAGCCCTGCATGTGAAGTTAATTTCTTCTTAAATTTGTAACAGTTGTTGCGGGCGTATCTGTATTTGTATATCCAAATGTTGACAGGTAAAATTTAATCACTTACTTTTCTGACACACAAAGCCTACTCTAAGATGCAGTAAGAAGATTTAATTTCTTATTTGCATATGTAAATCCCATTCATACAGTTAAAGTCAGAATTATTAGTCCAACTTTGAATTTTTTTTCTTTTTTAAATATTTCTCAAAGAGCAAGGAAATTTTCACAATATGTCTGAATGTTTTTTTCTTCTGGAGAAAGTCGTATTTGTTTTATTTTGGCTAGAAGAAAAGCAGTTATTAATTTTTTAACACCATTTTAAGGACAAAATTATTAGCCCCTTTAAGCTTTTTCTTTCTTTTTTTTTTTTTTTTTTGACTGTCTACAGAACAAACCATCTTTATACAATGACTTGCCTAATTACCCTAACCTGCCTAAACCTTTAAATGTCACTTTAAGCTTATTATGGTGGTGCTTGGAGAGACAGTTTGTTTCTGAGGTGGTACTTGGTGAAAAAAAAGTTTGAGATTTATTGATCTAATGTATTCCTCCTCTCCTGCAGGCCTGATGCGGGACGACACCATCGATGAGGGCAGTGATGTGAAAGAGGCTGTTCGTCGTCTTCCAGAGCCACTTTACAATGAGAGGGTTTTCCGCCTCAAGAGAGCCATGGATCTTTCCATGAAGCACCAGATCCTTCCCAAAGACCAGTGGACGAAATTTGAGCAGGTATGTCAATGTTAAGTGTGTCTTAGACATGTCATTTCTTTAAAGTATTAGGGTTTCAGATATATCAAGGCCTGGAAAGTACTTCAAAACAAGCATAGGTCCTTGCTTGAATTAAATTCATGGTTTTATTGCAACAGTTGTACTCAATTGACAAAAACTGAAAAAACAAACAAAGAAAAAAACAAGAAATTATTTAATTAATAATCTTAATGTAAATCTTGTGCAATAACAGTAACAAAAAAAATACACATTTTATTAGCCTTATGATGATAAACCATATTTGAACATCACAATTATTGAATTCAGCAAATTATTAAAGTTCTTTGAACATGACTTTTTAAAAGGGTCAATTTCTGAAACTGAGTTTTTACATTAATATTAAGTGCAAATGAAATTATTAGTACTTTCGTGGTGCTACATATGCTAAGGTTTGAATCAATTCCTGATTTAAAATGAACGGTGCTTTAAAAAGTCCTTAAATCTGCTGTTCATGAAAGCAAGGGAACTGTTAAAATTTGACTGATTTAATATATTTAATATGTGTTTGTGTTTTGTGCCAAACGTCACTTGATATTTAGTTCAATTCAATTGAGCTTTATTTGTATAGCGCTTTTATAATTTAGATTTTGTCAAAGCAGCTCCACATAAATGGTCATAGCAACTGGATCAGGGTAGTTCAGTTTTTAGTGTTTAAGTTCAGTTCAGTTTAGTTCAGTTTACTGTGGTTTAAATCATTACTGAGAGTCCAAACACTGAAGAGCAGATTCATCAATGCGTAGCTCTACCAATCCTGAACCATGCAAGCCAGTGGCGACAGCGGAGAGGAAAAAAAAACTTCACCAATAGGAGAGTGAAGAAAAAAAACCTTGAGAGAATCAGTCTCAGTTTGGCACGACCATTTTAATTTCTCCGCTGGCCAAACGTCTTGTGTAATTTAGTGTATTAGTTTTGCAGCAATACACTTTTTACAGATTTTATTCACTTTATCTTATGGTACAATTCTCACTATTAACAAACCAATACCTAAACCATTCAGCTCAAACTTCTCATTTACTGCTTATTAATTGTTAAGGTAGAAATTTGGTTTAGGGATTGGGTTAAATTAAGGATCTAGAATAAAATTAAGTTCCAATAAACAGCCAATGTATCTTAATAATAGGCAGGTAAAAAGCCACTTATCGTAATAGTGGGAATTGTTACTTAAACTTGAGTGTTACCCTTTTTTTATACTGAACACAAAAAATATCTGGTAACACTTTAGTTTAGGTTACAATTCAAGCTATAAACTTCTGGCTTATTACCTGCATATTATTATGACAATAACTGTTCATTAGTAGTTCTAAAACTAATCATACCCAAACTAAAACCAGCTTATAACCTTACTAACAACTAATAAACAGCTCATTAATGTTTTACTAAGCCAGAAGTGTTAGTTAATGGTTAGTTAATACCGTGATCTGTGAGGTTTTCATATGTTATAATGTAAGAAATGTGAAAATTACTGGAAAATGTAACTTATTTTGGTCTGTTCTAACAACTAAATCTATTGTATGATTAGATTTATTTAAACTTTTTTATGATTTGACGATTACTTTCAATGTCTAATGAATTTAAGACATTCAGTTTGACATCCTTTAGGCTAGTTTTACAAACAGAGCTTAGCTGAAGCTAGGTTTTCACTTAATTAAGTCAATCCAGGGCTTTATATACTTGCAACATGAAAAAGTTTTACAAACTAATAAAATATTGGGCAAAAAAATAGTTTAAAAAATAATGCAAATTGCAAAGGGAAGTTTAGGTTTTGAGAAATAAGAAATTCTGCAAAAAATAAGGAACCGCAAATAAAAATCAAGCAGTGCAAAAAAGACAATCAATCTTTTTAAAATATATATAAATATACATGTATGTAAAATATTTTTCAGCATTGCCTTTCCATACCCCCTCAAATCAATTGCAACCTTCATTTAGATTTGCTTTTCAGTCAGCCGTGGGTTTGCTGTGCGGTTTCTGCTTTGCAAGTGTTAAAATATTCTTGTTTGATTTGTTTTTTTTGCACTGCTTGATTTTTATTTGCAGTTCTTTTTGTTTGCAAAACATTATTTTCTCAACTTTCTCAGCATTTTCTCTTTGCGTTTTTTTTAAGCCTTTTTTTTTGGTTTGCAAAACTTTGTTGCAATGACAAACAGTGCACAGCATATACAAGTACACCCCTCACAAATCTCTCTCTTAAATTCATATTTTTGCAATATTTTGCTTGAAATTAATTGTATTATACTCCATTTCTAAGTATGTTTGGTGACAAAAATATTATTTTAATAAATATATGTTTTGTTTAAATGCACCAAATTACATCCCCTATATTCACTGAGAAATGGAGTAAAATATTCATTTTCAAAATGGGCTGTACTCAATTATGCTGAGCTCTGACTGACACGGTGGATTCCATAATTAAGCAGCTTTTATAAAAATGACTTTTTAAAAATCACACATTACTGCTGTGTTTGTTAACTTATTCTGTCACTGATGTTTTGTTTAGGTTAAGTCAAACATGCAATCAAGTCTAGTCTTAAGTCTTGTCTCTGAAAGCGAGTGTTCTGTTCCAATGCAGTATTGTATTTATTAATCTTGTAGGATGTGAAGTACCTGGAGCCGTACCTGCAGGAGGTGATCCGTGAAAGGAAAGAGAAAGAGGAGTGGGATAAGAAATAGGAAGAGCGTGATGACGATGATCAAGCTCTTCTTTGCTGCGATGTCTGGTATTCTTGTATTTAAAAGAAAATGTATTATGTGATGAGTCCTTATTAAAATTTCCTTTCTGACAAAAGCTTTTAATGATCTTTATTGTCTGCAGGAAAGCCATTGCAGCGGTCTCTAATCAAGGGAGAAAAGTTATTGGGAATATTTAATAGGCTCGTTCACTGCAGAAATACATTCTGATGATTAAATTAATAAAATTAGTCAATTATCGTCACTACTTTTTCCTTTTTGTAATAATGTTAAGGTTTTAGGTTGCAGTTACACCGAAAGATGCATTGATCATCAATTAAAGCCACACTATTTCTCATATATATATATATATATATATAGGGTGGAGCAGTAGGTAGTGCTGTTTCCTCACAACAAAAGGGTCGCTGGTTCGAGCCTCTGCTGGGTCATTTAGCATTTCTGTGTGGAGTTCACATGTTCTCCTCGCATTTGCTAGGGTTTCATCTGGGTGCTCCATTTTCCCCCACAAGTCCAAAGACATGTGGTACAGGTGAATTAGGTAAGCTAAAATTGTCTGTAGTGTGTGTGTGTGTGAGCGTGTGGGTGTTTTCCAGTGATGGGTTGCAGCTGGAAAGGCATCCGTTGCGTAAAACTGAAAAGCTGGATAAGTTGGCAGTTCATTCCGCTGTGGCCACCGCAGATTAATAAAGGGACTAATTCAAAAAGAAAATGAATATATACATATTTTACATACAAAGATTTACTTGTATTGCACATTTATTGTTTTTAAAGTGACTTTTCACGTTATACAAGATATGTACAGCTTCATATATAATAGCACTGTCTACCTCTCATGGGTTGGAATGTACTTTGCTAATAAATCCTGTTATGAATGCACAGTTGTGATTTTTAACATATTTGCAAGTGTGTATTCCTAAACAGATTTATTTGCAATGTACGTTAGAACTCGAGAAAGGAATACTTTGAAATCATTGCACATCTTATACATTATTATTATTATTATTAATTGGCTACTGCTATATTTGCTAAGTCATTTAAACTTCACTTCAAGTGGAATAAGTATTAAACAATAATGAAAAGTGATTATAACAAATGCGGGTCTAAAGTTACATTGTAATCAAATATTCGTTCACATCGAACTACTAAAGTGTTACGTAACACATTCAAATAACTGAAATAATTACAACGTACTACAAATAAAGGCATTCATTGTGTTCAGAACCTGAAAACTAAAAACAGAACATGAAACAACATTTACATAAACACAGTATAGTATATTTCACACTTTACAGCTGCGGTCACACTGGGCTTTCCCTCCCATAGACTTCCATTCATACACACGCGAATGCGTCAGACGAGAAACGCAAGGTCATGCGTCAAGTTTCGAAGGTTGCTGCGGTGCATAGTTCAAGCATCACTTGACTTCATGAGACCAATCTAGGATCAAAACATGACCTCTCTGGACAGTAATTTAAAATATGGAGCAATCGCTCGCTTTTTAAAATGTCTAATCATCTTGTTTAATCCCGCCTCTTTTCGCAGAGCCGTACGACAGAATTTCGCAAACTCAAACTCTGGTGTGGCCGCAGCTTAAGGCGATAACTTTTATTCAGTTTTTGGTGATGTAATCTTTTCTGTAAGTTGTAAATTTTTAAACGCCCTGATGCTGAAGAATTAAAAGTAACAGTTAAAATCAAGAAAAAGGAAACAGCAATGTAAAACAATTAAACTGATCATTAAAATATACTATTATATAAAATATAGTATATATATATATATATATATAAATAATGCAAATAAATGCACTAGTTGTGTTCTGAATTTGGCGACTAAAAACATCAAACCTAAAGAATGTGAAACATTTATATGACTATATAACCCACTGGCCACTTTATTAGGTACACCGGTCCAACTGCTTGTTGACGCAAAATTCCAATCACATGGCAGCAACTCAATGCATTTAGGCATGGTTAAAACGACTGCTGCAGTTCAAATCGAGCATCAGAATGGGGAAGAAAGGTGGCATGGTTGTTGGTGCCATTTAGGCTGGTCTGAGTATTTCAGAAACTGCTGATGTACTGGGATTTCATGTACAACCATTTCTAGGGAATTATAGAAAAAAAGTCCAAAAAAGAGAAAATATCTAGTGAGCGACGGTTCTGTGGGCACAAATGCCTTGTTGATGCCTGAGTATTGCTGCTGACCATGTCCATCCCTTAATGACCACAGTATACCCATCTTCTGATGGCTACTTCCAGCAGGATAACACACCATGTCATAAAGCGTGAATCATCTCAGACTGATTTCTTGAACATGACAAGGAGTTCACTGTACTCAAATGGCCTCCACAGTCACCAGAACTCAATCCGATGAAGCACCTTTGGGATGTGGTGGAACGGGAGATTGGCATCATGGATTCACCTGGTTGAATCTATGGCATGAAGGAAAAAGGGGCCCAACCCGGTACTAGTAAGGTATACCTAACAAAGTGGCCAGTGACATTAAAACCAAATATATATTTCAATGTGGAAATCTCCCCCGTAATACATATAGAAACCGTGATCCTCTTACTCCATCAGTCTGTGCTCTCTGCGTTGAGTGACCGTGTTAACCGTATCAATGAAGCTTCCGATGACGTTATTGAATGAGCTCAGCATGGAGACCCCCAGCTCATTACTGGTCTCGTTGATGTCAGCATCGTAGACCCCGAGTAACGGCGTACAGACTTCCACGTGTCCTTTCCCTTCACGCTCCAGAATGCCAACAAGTTCAGTCCTGGCCTGCTGGAACTTATCACTGTCGTAGTTGACCAGAGTCCGATCATCCAGCGGGTACGTCACACTTTCTGGATAACAGTCTCGAGGCACAGGCAGCTCAACATATCTGACAGATAATACAAGACATTCATCAGTATTGTTTTTCCTTCGTGAGGTATCTTTGCACATATCATTTACTGTTTAAGTCAAATTGTATGTAAAAAAAAAAAAAAAAAAAAGTTGTTTACAAGCATGCATTCATATAAACATGCCTACCTGTATACTGTATGAATGTATGTAAAAACAAATGTTCATGTATTTATGTCCTCATAAACATGCATAAATAAATGGATACATGTATTTCATGTCCTTATAAACATGCATGCATGCATGCATAAATGGATGCATGCATTTTTTCAGACATTTACATGCATACATAAATACATGTACTTTTTACATATAAACATGCATACATATGTAAATGTTTGTTTATATGTAAAAAAAAAAAAGTGCATGTAAATATGTCTATTAAAAAACATGTATCTAATTATGCATGCATGTTTATGAGGATGTGAAAAATACATGCATTTATCACTTTATTTACATTGGAAAAAATATTTAATTTTCATTTTTTCATGAAGGCATTTAGGGTACAATGGTTGTTGGGTCAATTTTGACCTGTCAGCTATAAAACTAGTTTTACCCCACAAAAACTACTGGCACACAAAAAGTCTCAGTCTCACAGAAAAAAAGTCTCACAGACAGAGAGAGATATAGATTGATGGACAGACAGACAAAACTTTTGCAGACGCCATTTTTTGTTTTCTGTTATTTTGAAAGTGTATATGATGGAAATAAAATCTAACTTTTTTGACATTAAAAGAATGTCTAATCTGTGATTTGATGCCTTGTGGAGATTTTTCCATCTTTCCTTGGCTTCTGTACGTACATTACTACAAATTTTTACCTGGGGTGCCCAAACTTTCGATCCCCACTGCAGCATGCATGGGATGCGCACTCCAGAATCTCGCCGGAAGTAGTAAGTCATCCGGGTACTTCTCACATACTGATTTTCGAATTCTATGAATTCGGACATACTACTCGGCTCACATACTGATTTTAGCGTACTATATAGTATAGAAGTATGTGGTTTCGGACGCAGCCAATGGCTCAGATGACAAAATGTGTACTGTTGGTGTGTCTTCAGGAACAGGGTTGGTAAACACTGAACTAATGGACCATTATTTAACCCAGGGGTCACCAATCTCAGTCCTGGAAGGCCGGTGTCCCTGCAGGGTTTAGCTCCAACTTACCTCAACACACCTGCCTGGATGCTTCAAGTATACCTAGTAAGACCTTGATTAGCTTGTTCAGGTGTGTTTGATTAGGGTTGGAGCTAAAATCTGGAGGAACAAGTTTGGTGATCCCTGATTTAACCTGTTACCCAGAATTCTAGAATAATAAATGGACTTTCTGTACCTGAGCGCGGGGTAAGCGTTGGCCAGCGTGTTGAATAGTCTGTGCAGGGCAGCAGAAGTCAGAGGATTGCCCAGAATCTTCAGCTCCTGCAGGCCGTGGCAGGGTGTGAGTGCCTGGGTGAGCAGATCCAGCTTCTCATCATCCAGTCCGCACTCCTCCAGACCCAGACTTATGAGTGTGCTGGAGCAGCGCTGCAGAAGCTTCCGGAAGGTGTTGGGGAAGAGATCTGCCACCTCATGGCCGCTCAGATCCAGCTTTACTAAGTGTTCACTGTGCAGGCTGTTAGCGAAGTAGGCCATGTCCAGAGCATTGATACTGCAGTTGGCCAGCTCGATACACTCCAGTGGCGTATTTAGAGGACTAGTGGGGAAAAAAAAAACAACAAGAACAGAGTTAAATTTATATTAACATTGATTATAAAGCTTTGGTTACATGCTACACTCAAAAACACAAAGATTTTGCTGCTTGTGTAAACCACTTATGCAAAATGAGCTGAAACAACACAACTTGTGATTCATTTCAGGTTTATTTGTACAGTGCTTTTCACAATAATTACATTTAGTCATTTAGCAGACGCTTTTATCCAAAGCGACTTACAAATGAGGACAAGGAAGCAATTTACACAACTATAAGAGCAACAATGAATAAGTGCTGTAGGCAAGTTTCAGGTCTGTAAAGTCTAAGAAGGAAAGTGTTAGTAGTATTAGTATTTTTTTTTTTTTTTTGGGTACAGTTAGTGTGATATCCAGAGAGGCAATTGCAGATTAGGAAGTGAAGTGGAGACTAAATAGTTGAGTTTTTAGTCGTTTCTTGAAAGTAGCGAGTGACTCTGCTGTTCTGATGCAGTTAGGGAGTTCATTCCACCAACTGGGCAGATTGAGCGTGAGCGTTAGCGAAAGTGATTTCTTCCCTCTTTGGGATGGAACCACGAGGCGACGTTCATTCACAGAACACAAGTTTCTGGAGGGCACATAGATCTGCAGAAGTGAGAGCAGATAAGAAGGAGCAAAGCCAGAAGTGCCTTTGAAGGCAAACATCAGAGCTTTGAATTTGATGCGAGCAGCAACTGGCAGCCAGTGCAAACGGACTAGCAGCGGAGTGACATGTGCTCGTTTAGGTTCATTGAAGACCACTCGTGCTGCTGCGTTCTGGAGCAGCTGAAGAGGATTGATAGAGTTAGTAATGGTTGTTTCAAATCTCAAATGGTTGAGAAGTAATGGTTGTTTCAAAGCTGCTTTACAAGGGGCATGTTATTACATTACAATCAAATATCTGTTATAATACATGAACACTGTTAACCTGCAGTTTTATAGTTTATAAGTGATGTCTACGTGTACATCAAGTTAAACATGCTTTGTTTAATCCACTTGAATTTGTGAATTTGTTTCACTTAATCGATTTGTGTTCACATAACTCATTCAATTCACTGAATGAATTATCTGTATGCATCTGTATTTACTGGATTTACGATAGCAACATCTAAATATAGTCGCTGTTGGGGAGGGGAGGAAAAAGGGGGCGTTAAAAGGAGGTAAAAATGCGCAAACTGATGGTACTGTTAAATCATTGAAGAAAATAAAAGATTTGAATCAGAAAAAAAAGTCAAGCAAAGGAGCTCACAAAGGCTGATGGCACCGATTTATATCAGTCCACATGCTCCATGAAGGTCTAGGTTGAATGAATATCATGGCCCAGACTGTGTTTTGTCTGGTATGAGACACGTGTGCTGCTATTTACACTATATATGCAGAACGCATTGTGTTCCAGAGTCACATAGTGCCCTACTTAGTGTTCACAGAAGGGCAGCTGTCTGAATTCTGGAACACCACAACAAACACAGCAAAAACAACAACACTGATGATAAACAGCTGATTAGACTAATTTAAAAAGACCTACTGTATACAGCAAAAAAGGTTGCCCTAAATGTTGAAGCTTAATTAAATTAAACTGAATCATTTTAAATTGAATGACATTGGGCCCTATCATACACCCAGCGCAATGTGGAGCAAGGCACGGCGCAATAGTCTTTTGCTACTTTCAGCTCGGCGCAAGGGTCATTTTGAGGCGTTGCGCTACGCTGTTAAAAATAGCAAATGCATTTGCGCTCATATGTGCACCCATAGGCGTTCTGGTCTAAAAAGCAGGCGTGTTTTGGCGCGTTGCTATTTTGAGAAACTGTAAATAGTCTGATCTTTAGACCAGAACAATGTCAATCTATTGTCTGGCGCAAAGTGCGCCCGGCTTACACACTACACACAAGATGTAGAGCAATACACAAATATCTCTACATATGAAAAATATATAATATATTAAGGATATATATAGGATATAAATATAAATGATTAAAATATTACAAAACATATTATTTTCTAGCCTACATAAATTTAAAAACCGCTGCCTTACTTTCTTCATCTCGGGAGGCTTTTTCAGTTCATTCATAACAATTTGCTTTTGTATAATGTTATTATTATTAGCAGTATTATTTATTATATCCATATTTATTTTTATTTTATTAAAAACAAGCTTAGATTTGCCCACCTGCAGGTTTTAGACCATATGGGGCTCAGCATGTGTTTTAGGATATAACTGTTCATTTATTGGTTTGCTGGAAATTAGAACTGAATTTAGAAATAGTTTTAAAAACAAATCTTTGTGCTTAACAAACTAAATTAATCAGTTATAGGATAATTGATGTCTGTGCGGTAAGGTTTCCCTATCCACGAGAGCAAAAGCGAAAGTGAACTTACTTTACGCCATGTTAATAGCAAATGCGCTTATGGCGCGACGCAGCTGGCTCTTAAAGGGAATGGGAGATGAAACTAATTGGTTTATTCTCAAAACACACCTATAACTCATTAAGAAAATAAACTCAACCCTTTTAGATCATGTGCCGGGGCGCGAAATTAGCGAAATTATCCCGTCCTTAAATTAGCAAAAATGCATTCTGACACGCCCTGAAAGCGTTTGCGCCCTGCGCTCTGCGCATGGACCTTCAAAATAATAGGGCATGCACTAAATTCCAGGGCTTTCATTACCACGACGTAAAATGGGCGTGGCTCGGTCGGTGTTTGGGAAACGCCCCCTTAAAAAAAAAAACAATACTGAGAGGTCACCGATCATACAGGTTCTTTTTTAGCGCGGTCATTTCAAACAGGATGATTATGGATAAAGAACCTACCGCGGTGGATAACGAGGAAAAAAAACAATCATACAGGTTATTTTTTTGTTTTTATAATGTTATATTTTAAAGATTTCATTAGCAAAAACGGCTGACCTCGTTTTACTCCGTTTTACTCTATCTGGGCTTTTGTACTTCCATTTTAAACCAAATAATAATGGTTGTGGTAAGATTAACCGTGTTTTTGTAGTTTAAAATATGGTATTCAGTCATGTTTAAACAAATAAATACCACATTTTCTGTAATAAATCGTGGTTAATTTTTCTTTCTCGATCTTAGTTAATTAACATAACTCATATTTATTTTCTATTTTTATTTAAAGTCATCATACACAAAACAACTGAGATCAGGACAGGTATCTGATGTTAATGTATATAAAAGTGATCATACATGAAACCCCTGAGATCAGGACAGGTATCTGATGTTACTGTATATAAAAGTGATCATACATGAAACACCTGGGATCAGGACAGGTATCTGATGTTAACTAATATAAAAGTGATCATACATGAAACCCCTGGCATCAGGACAGGTATCTGATGCTACTGTATATGATATATAAAGTATTTGACACAAAAGCCGTGGGATCGGGACAGGTATCTTAAGTTATAACAGTATTAATGTAATCTGAGAGGTATTTTAAGTTAATTTGTTTTATATAACATACACTGACTTCACATGAAACACCTGCGATCAGGTCAGCTATTTTGTACTGCATATAAAAGGCATTGGACACGAAACCCCTGCGAATACATACAGGTATCTGGATCAAACGGCTGTTTTCACAATCTGCGCATGATCCGTGACCTATGCAAATTCACAGATAGGCCACGCCCACCCGATGACGTAGCAGCGGTTACGCTGTACTGAAACCCCTGGAAAAAAGTGCCTGCCTTCAAAATAGAGCCCATAGACTTAAAACAGATTCATTACTTCATTTTTCTTTGGCTTAGCATCTGTTTCAGATTTCAGATTTTACCATCAGCTTGTGCAAATACTCCTTTAGGGGTGAAATACATTTTCATACTTTAAAGATATTCATTCATTTTCTTGTCGGCTTAGTCCCTTTATTAATCCGGGGTCGCCACAGCGGAATGAACCGCCAACTTATCCAGCAAGTTTTTACACTGCGGATGCCCTTCCAGCCACAACCCATCTCTGGGAAACATCCACACACACATTCACACATACACTACGGACAATTTAGCCTACCCAATTCACCTGTACCACATGTCTTTGGACTGTGGGGGAAACCAGAGCACCCGGAGGAAACCCACGCGAACGCAGGGAGAACGTGCAAACTCCACACAGAAACGCCAACTAAGCCGAGGCTCGACCCAGCAACCTTCAATCAAGTAGTGAAGAGCACTGATGTTTAAAGACATCACATCTTAAATGTGGCAATTGGGCTGGCTGTAAATTAAAAGTCTGTGTGCATATACCTCATTTATGCAGTGCATTGTGTCTTTACCTCAGCAGTTTCCTCAGGTGTCCAGTGAGCGTGGAGAACCCCAGATATAGCTCTCTCAGCTCAGTCAGTTTGCTCATCAGCTCCCCCAGAACCCTCATGAGATCCTGATCCTCCAATCCCAGCCGGTGCACATTCAGAGCCTGCGCGGGGAAGGTGAGCGAGCGCAGGCGAGGGAACTTCAGCTGGGACAGCATCACCTCAATATGTGGAGCCTCCAGGTGGACATTGTGCACCACCTCCAGCTTCTGCGGGCCGTGAGACTCCACCAGCTTCAGAAGGTAAAACAGGTTCCTGAGACTCAACGAATCCACGCGCAGACCAACAAACTGCAGTTTCAACGGGCAATGTCTGCGCAGCAATAGAGCCTGAGAGACTACCTCGTAATTGCGTCCGGTCACAAATGCATCTAATCGGACGTCAACCTCCACATTGAACGCAGACGGTGCTGATTGGCCGGCTTGCATGGACACCATAGTCTCATAACACACTCGTGTGAGCATTTCAGTGCGCGCCCAACGCCCAAGAGTCCGTCTGCATTGACAAATCTGGTGTTCAGTGTCTCGAATGCCTATTAAATCCACAACCTGCAGGATTTTAGCGTAAGTGGTTGAAGCTTGAAGCACATAGTCCCTCAAACCTGTGAGAAACGCTTCAAGACAGAGCCTGCAAGTGCTGCACGTGAGGTCTTCAGGACAGTCCGTCGTCTTTCCTAACAGTTTACGCAAGTTCAGCTCAGTCAGAGGCCACGTTTGCACCAGGTCGTGGAGAAACGAAGCCTCCTCGTGCAGATAACTAGCCTTGAAGAGGATTGGGTAGAGATTGTAGGACAAGCAGTGGAGGTTTCTACGTGCGTTTGGGCCAGTTTGAACGAAGGCTTCAGCTGAGAGGAACTTTAGAGTCTTCATTGTTGTTGAGGTCAAGCCCACGGTCAGGTCTTGGAGACGTGGCGTGTTTGTTTCTTCTGCTCTCTTTCAGATAGGGTTTACATGCGTGTCAGCCTGAGAACAGAACAGTGCTGAGTGAGAGCAAGAGGAGGGAGGTTGTTAGTTATTTATAGAAGCAGCTGTCTCATAGTCTCATGGCTAACACACAAACACACGCGTTAAAAAGCAATTAGGTTTTGGACGGCTGTAAAAAAATAAAAAAATAAATAAATAAAAATAAGTCACTTACCTAAACATGTTGAATGATCATCAATGATGAGACAATAGTAGGTGCAATGACATTCTCTGGCTGTAGGTAAATTTCTCTGGGTTAAACATTCAATAATGGTATATTAAAATAATACATTGCTCTCTTCTATATATATATATACACACACACAGCTGAAGTCAGAATTATTAGCCCCCTTTTGAGTTTATTATTTTTTTTTAATATTTCCTAAATGATTCCTAAACAGAGTAAGGAAATTTTCACAGTATGTCTGATAATATTTTTTCTTCTGGAGAAAGTCTTATTTGTTTTTTATTTCGGCTAGAATAAAAGCAGTTATTAATTTTTTAAAAACCATTTTTGGGACAAAATTATTAGCCCCTTTATGCTAATTTTTTTTTTTTTTTTTTGATAGTCTACAGAACAAACCATCTTTAGACAATAACTTGCCTAATTACCCTAACCTGCCTAGTTACCCTAATTAACCTAGTTAAGCCTTTAATTGTCACTTTAAGCTGTATAGAAGTGTCTTGAAAAATATCAAGTAAAATATTATTTACTGTCATCATGACAAAGATAAAATAAATCAGTTATTAGAAATGAGTTATTAAAACTATCATGATTAGAAATGTGTTGACAAAATGTTCTCTCTGTTAAACAGAAATTGGGTGAAAAAAAATTAACGGGGGCTAATAATTCTGACTTCAACTATACACTACCGGTCAAAAGTTTGGGGGCAGTTTTTTTATTAAAAAAAAAAAAACAGATTCAAGCATGGAAATTGCAAAAGAGCAGCTTCTGCTTTAAGCTGGACAGACTGAATATCTACTAATAAATATCTACGATATAAAAATATAAAGACAAATGTAAAACACAGTAAAACACAATAAATCCATGATTTTTAAAGAAGATTATTCTGTTCATGAAGAAGGCATTTATTAAATGTAAAAACATTGTTAAATATTTATATATTTAATATTTAAATAACCACTTTCTTATTGTATGTAAATAAGTTTTAAATAAAATTATTACTCCAGTCATTAATGCTTTTCTTAATATTATATTAATAATAATGATAATAAAAACTGGAGTAATGAAGCTGAAAATTCATCTTTAAATCACTGGACTAAATTATTAAATTAAATGATAAAAGACGTTGGAACAGTTATTTTATAGTGCAATAACAATATACAATTTTACAATTTGTACTGTATTTTTGATTGAATAAATGCAGACTTGGTGAGCAGGAGAAGCTTATTTTAAAACATTTAAAATCTTACTGACCCCTAACGTTTGACCCTTAGTGTAAATATAAATAAAAGAAAAGGAAAACAAAAAGACCATTTTTTATTTTGCAAGCAAAATATGATTCTCAATCTGGCCAATTTTGAGTTTTGCTAAAGGGCTACATTTGGCTTCTCAGTCATCTGAATTTGTCAAAAAAGGTCAATAAAAACAGAAAGCTGCTTGACAATGGATTAATGATCTTTTTGCCCACTAATTTGCTGTCACTAACGCACCCTTTAAAACCGTCAAAATTAACAGATTTTTCCCACAGTATTTATTAAAAATAAAGTCTTTTAAGAAGCATGAACATCACCAAATCTGATTCAAAGCCAAAATGTGTATGAACATTTTACAAGAAAAAAGTGTGCGAGTGTGCATACTGTTCACTCTAAAAATAATCAAGCGCTTGCAAACCTTTATGAGTTTCTGTTTCCTGTTGAACACACACACAGCCAATAACTTCCATAGCAGGAGAAACAAATACTATGTAAGTCAACAGCTTTCGGTTTCTTCAAAATAAAAAAGAGTTCAACAAAATAAAAAAGAAAGGTGAATAAATGAAGGCAATTTTCCTAATTTAATCTTTTATTTTTCTTGGTACATTGATTGTATTTTAGTTTAACCAAAAATCTGTTATAAAGCATGCCATTTTCTATAATATTAGCAGCGCAATTCACAACATAAGCATGCAATATGATTGCAAAGACTACCTTTGGTTTAAACAAACACTCAATGCAGCCTACTCACCAGCCACTTTATTAGGTACACCTTACTAGAATCAGTTTGGACCCTTTTCACCTTCAGAACTGCCTTAATCCTTCATGGCATAGATTCAGCAAGGTACTGGAAATATTCCTCAGAGATTTTCCTCCATATGGACATGATAGCATCACACAGTTGCTGCAGATTTGTCAGCTGCACATCCATGATGCCAATCTCCCGTTCCACCACATCCCAAAGGTGCTCTATTGGATTGAGCTCTGGTGACTGTGGAGGCCATTTGAGTACAGTGAACTCATTGTCATGTTCAAGAAACCAGTCTGAGATGATTCACGCTTTATGACATGGTGTGTTATCCTGCTGGAAGTGGCCATCAGAAGATGGAGACACTGTGGTCATAAAGGGATGGACATGGTCAGCAACAATACCTAGGTAGGCTGTGGCGTTGACATGACGCTCAACTCGTACTAATGGGACCAAAGTGTGCCAAAAAATACCCCCCACACCTTTACACCTCCACCAGCCTGATCATGATCTCGAGGATCGATAGATCAGTCCTTCACAACACACGCAGCGATCTCAGATCAGTTCATCCAGACATTCTAATCTGATTCGCGAACTTGTTTGAAGAACCAAATTAGCGAGAGATCAGTTATCAAGATGAAAAGATCCAGGATCTGCCAAATCATTTTAGACCATTTAAGCAAAGTACGAAGAACAGACCCCAGGTTATATTTTCTGTTCACATAATTACAAAACAATAAAACAAAATGACGCTAAAAAAAGTGGTTCAACCCTTTTTGGTGGAGAAATGATTAATGTGAGTGTATACGGTTGATGAAACACCAGCATATTTGTTTTTATAAGAGCAATAACACTGCTCATGAGAGTGTGTGGTTGGGTCAGGCTTACGCCGGGTGGTAATGGTGATGGTGGTGATGATGGTGATGCTCATGGTGATGATGGTGTTCATGTCTTTGAGGAACGGGAATGAGTCCTGTAGGCTGAAGAGCCGTCCCGCAGTTTAAATCTCTGTCTTGGGGGTTTCTGGACGGTGATGCAGTTTCTCGGGCTCGGGCACGCATGCGTTTGCTGGAGCTGTGCAGCAGAGGGTGCTGTTGCTGTTGTTGGGACGGATAGCACCATGTTATGGGGTGATGCCCGTGATGTTTGCTGGGTTTGGATGTGGCTGCGGTGTAACCCACAGACTTGCTGCGGCTGCAGAGCGACCGGAGGAAAGGGAGGGATTTACCAGAGGAATCCACACGGATGCAGGTCTCGGGTTGAGAGCGACGATGATGGACACGGGATGATGGGACATCCTGAGGAGGATCCTTTGCAGATGTTTCTGGAGTAATGAGAGTTGAAAAATATGTGCAAGATGGAGTATACCAATGAAGTCAAACATCGAAAAGTGGAAGAATTTATTCAATATTTGTCACCTTAGAATTATGAGGTTCTATCTGCGTTCTGAATGATTTTGAGATATTGAGCTTCAAAGTTTTTGCATTCTATATAGCAAACAACATGTGTGTAACAGATCTCTTTCATACATTAACATGACAGAGATCCTCAGGGTTCTCTAAATGTAAATTATCAAAGTTCTCTTACATTTGCAAATTGGAGTAAATAAACCATGGTAAAGCAGATAGAACCTTCTCATTGTGAAAAGTCTTTTTCCACTTGGAATTATAAGGTTATATCTGCCAGATCATTCATTGAAGCATTACTTATCAAGAAATACAATACAAAATATATAGTTTAGTGTTGTAACAATATGTTGATGCTTGAGAAAGTTAAAATTTTGCTTTTTTATAACATTAATTTAAGTTTTATGATGAATATTTTTTCTTTTAAAATTAAGCATACAAGGTGTACTAAATATGTTTTTTCCAGTGCAGCTGTTAGTTTTATCTAACTAATATGTTCATATTTATTAAATTTTATGCTTTAAATAAATTATTGAATTATATTTATTGAATCATATGCTCCATGAAATAAATTAAGTATATGCCCTTCAAGGCTTAATATTAAACCTATAGACTTTAAAAGAAACAATGAGCAACTGAGTTTAATAAACACTGAAAAGTGTTGTACTGACTATATATACACAAATAAAAATATTTCACTTATAATATACAAATTTTTTAAATATTCATTTCTTTTTCAACAATGTAAAATTGAGCATATAATCTCAACGTTTGCTTAGCAGTGGCGCAGTGGGTAGCATGATTGCCTTACAGCAAGAAGGTCACTGGTTCGAGCCTTGGCTGGGTCAGTTGGTGTTTCTGTGTGGAGTTTGCATGTTCCACCCATGTTTGCGTGGGTTTCCTCTGGGTGCCTTGGTTTCCCCCACAAGTCTAAAGACATGCGGTACAGGTGAATTGGATAAGCTTTAAAATTGGCCATAGTGTATGTGTGTGATTGAGTGTGTATGGGTGTTTCACATTTCAATTTTGTGTGGTGTGGCATTCTTTAATTGACTCTTATTTTGTGTGATTTTGTCTTTCTGGTGTTTCCCGCTGTCAATGGAGCAGTCCAGTGAAATGACAAAGAAAGCTGATTCCTGATTGGTCCTCGTGCATGCATTAAAAATGCTGATTGGCTCACAGATAGAACCTTATAGAGCCAAGCTAGAGTTCAACTTTGTAGATACACCTTTTTTGTTTTTTAAATAAAAAAGCTTTAAAATGTAAACAACTTATAAAAACACATCCCATAATGTAAGTAAGTTGCCGTTTAAAAAGAATATGTGAATAACTCAATTTTGACAAAAATGTCAGATAGAAACTTATAATTCTAAGGTGACGATTTGGCAAATGATGATTAACAGAGCAAGGAATTTTTCAAAGTATTTCCTATAATACTTTTTTCTTCTGGAGAAAGTCTTATTTGTTTTAGTTTGGCTAGAATAAAAGCAGTTATTATTTATTTTAACCATTTTAAGGTCAATATTATTAGCTCCCTTAAACTATTTGTTTTCGATTGTCATCTGTATGAAGTGCATCCACAGACTGTACAGATGTAACTATTAATTACGTATTATAAATTATAATTATAAATGTTAACATTACTTCTGTCTGTGAATTTCACAGCCTGCAGATTTTAGCTCCAACTTTCTCCAAGTTTCTAGAATGCCTAGTAAGAGCTTGATTAGTTAGGCCAGGGGCCTCATGTATCAACGCTGCGTACACACAAAAACTTTGCATATGCCAGGTTTCACGCTCACGTTTGAATTTACTAACGATGAAATGAACGTGAGAATGTGCATTGGTCCTCATCAACTACATGTCTACAGTAACGTAGCGGACGGGCACGCAGAGCACGCACCGCGGGGGGGCCCCACATGATTAGGGGGCCCCGCGTCGTTGCGATTTTAAATAATTGTAAATTCGGCAACCGCAATAATCAAACTCTTGGGAACAACTGCGGTCGGAACCAAAGTTCACAGGTCTGTGTTTTCTGAAGACCTCTCATTCTGATTGCTTGCTGCTGAACCGCGACATAGCTCATACTATAAAGTTAACTTGATTTCAACTCTCCTCGACGCTCACACCAGAGAAGACGCGCCGCACTGTTTCTTGCCGCTGATTCTCATTTAAAATGAATGACTTCTGGCTACTTTGACGCTCATGCCGCTTTGAGTTTGTGATCGCTCCTCAGTTTGTGAAGGTTTTCCCGCGTTGTCGCTCCACCCCGCTTCCCTTTCCCGCTCCTCAATTTGTGATCGCTTCCCCGTGTTGTCTCTCACCCCAAACCCCCAAGGATGAAGGTCAAGCTTTTACCTTCAAATCGAGAAGTGTAGTTCTCAATTCCAGCCAAATCCAGATAGTGGTTCCTGCGTTCGGTGTTTTCATCTACAGAGTACTGCTTCCTCTCTGGAGCACTCAACTGATCTGAGTTCAGTACTCTGAAAGAAGAACATCATATAATTATAGTAATATTGTATTAATATTCTTGATAACAGCATTGATATTTTTGATAATTCCTTTCCTGAATTACTACATTTTTTGTAATTATTCTGAAGACAGATTAATATTTTTTTTTGCACTGTAAATATTGAAAAAAAGAAAACATGCTTTGGCGCATAAGTTAAATATTTCTGTTTAAGCTGAAGTGCTATAATAACTCGAATAAAAATGTTTTAAAGATACACAGAAATACAAAAAAACTAGACTAAAATAATTAAAATTTAAATAAAATCTAAAAAGATTTTTTAACATGGTAAATAAATAATAATACAGTGATACTGGCTGGTTATTAAAAAATATAAAAATAATATCAATTAAATTATAATATGTTACTCTGGCCCACAAAACAAGCCATAATTGTATTTTTGGGGGGGATCTAGATTTATGCTTTATATAAATATACACTCCTTTTACTATTTAGAAATTTTCGAATTTGAGGGTTAAAAAATCTAAATAGTGAGAAACTCAAGTTTAAAGTTGTCCAAGTTTTCAGTAATACAAATTAGCAATAGATAGATGTAGTTTTTACATATTTACAGAGGGAAATTCACTAAATATCTTCATGGATTATGATCTTTACTCGATATCTTAATGATTTTTGGCATAAAAGAAAACTGATCCAATACAATGTATGTTTGGTTATTTCCACAAATATAGCTGCGAGACATAAAACCAGAGTCACATATAATAAAAAAATAAATATAACATTTTTGGGCCATTTTATTCTACTGTGCAAATAATTAATTTTAACTAATAATTATTTTAACAAAAATGTTTAGCCCATCATTAATTCTGTTTATTTACTTGAGTAAATGTGTGTACATCTATATTTATTCAGTTTTTTAAAATTAATTTCATTAATATTATTGACTAATGTGAAAATGTTCATCTGATTTATTTACAATGCAGTTTGTACAGTAATATTTTGTGTCTTTTACTAGATATATTATATGACAAACTTGCTTTATTTACCAAATAGAGTGAATCTAATTGGATTTGCATTTAAAAAATTGAATAAAAGTTAAAAAGATATTAATTTTTATTTTACATATAAACAAGGTTTTAGTTATCATACTCCCAAAACAATTCAGCAGAAATCCGCAGACTTTTACCAAAATTCTCAGCAGAAATAGCAAAAAACGTCCGCAGATTCCGTCTGGCCCTACCTATGACTGAAGAATAACAGCTGACCTGATTTGCGGATGTTGGCTCTCTTTGCTGCATCCTGTCTCGTTCATTTGATCCCGTTCATTCAGAGATATCCCAGCATCTCAAGATGGACAAAAGAAAATTCAAGTCAGTAAGAGTGCATGATAAATGATTTAATGATGATCCACCACCAAACAAATGTGGCCATATGATTAAGTTTAAGCGTGACCTATTATACCCCTTCTCTCTGATGTTCCTAGTGTGTATGTGTATGTATATGTGACGTTTCAGCTCAAAATACATCACTAATAATGTTTTATAACTCTCTGAAACTGACCCCTTTAGGCTTTGATCCTAAATGTGTCATTTTGGTGACAGTCGCTTTAAATTCAAATGAGATTGTGCTCTTTTTCAGAAGAGGGCGGAGTTACAAATGCCTGTGTGTCAGCATAGTGGCAGATTCAAAACAGGAGTAACGTTCTCTCTGTGAAAATCTGAAAATGTTAAAGAAAAAGTGTCTCAGAAGAAGGTCGTCTGTATTAGCGCATCCTAAACTCCACATTTATAATGCCTCTGACATTATCTTGAGCAGGTGAAAACTCTAAATGGCGGACGGCTGCTTCTCACTCAGGGTTGTCTATGCTGATGAGAGAGAGATGGTCACTAATGGGTACGGCTTCCCCCCTCTGATGACACATACAAAGGGAGAATGTCAACCAAAGTGCTTCTGCGGTCTGTTTTTATCAAGTGTGATTATAAAATCTAGACACAACTGTGTTTAAACCCCTAATATAAGTGATTGTTGCATAATAGGTCCCCTTTAATGCTCACCTTTCCTGTATGTTTTTCTGCTGGTCAGTGGAGTGACGCTCAGCTTCACACGCAGGGTTGTGCCATTGCTGAGCACCAGCTGTTTGACTGAAGCTTCAACCAGCTCACAGATCGTCTGCATCAAGCTCAATTTATTCTGCAACAAAGAAAAAATCAATATCTTAATGATGTGTTTATGAATATAAAGTAGCAACAATAATATTAGCTTTTAGAGTTAGCTATTAGCTAACTCTATTATGACAGTAAATAATATTTTTTTAGTTATTTTTCAGCTTAAAGTGACATTTAAAGGCTTAACTAGGTTAATTGCGCTAGTTAGTTTAATAAGCAAGTCATTAGACAACAGTAGGTTGTTCTGTAGCTAATCGGAAACAATACTTCTTAAAGGGGCTAATAATTTTGACCTTAAAATTGTTTAAAAAAAAAAATTAAAACTGCTTTTATCCTAGCCGAATTAAACAAATAAGAATTTCTCCAGAAGAAAAAATATTATATGAAATACTTGCTCTGTTAAACATAACTTAAATATATTTAAATTAAAAAAATACAAGTTTCACAGGAGGGCTGATCATTTTAACTACAGCCATATGTGCCCTGTCAATACTAAGCTTTACCTCTTTGGTTATTTTCCCACTGTTGTCCAAACCATACAGTGTAATCATCCACTCTTGACGATTTTCATCCGGGATGGACACATTACACTCCTTTTCCTAATGTCGACAGAGCAAGAATTAAGGGAAAGCATTTACAATCAGTTTAATTCAAGAAGAACGCAACACACACATTTAAAACCATTACTCAAAATTACCTATTTTTATTTAGAACTTTAATTTAACAGATGAATTAAATAGATTTTTTTAAATATTACAAAATAAATGCTGCTTTATTTATTTTTTATTCTACCAAAAATGACAAAGTATAATGTCTTCCAAAATTAGTTTTTTATTCTATTTATAATTAAACTGAAATTCTTGAGCAGTGGATCATATTAGGGGCGACGCAGTGGTGCAGTAGGTAGTGCTGTCGCCTCACAGGAAGAAGGTTGCTGGTTTGAGCCTCGGCTGGGTCAGTTGGCATTTCTGTGTGGAGTTTGTATGTGCTCTGTAAAACGTATGCTGGATAAGTTGGTGGTTCATTCCGCTGTGGCGACCCCAGATTAATAAAGGGACTAAGCCGACAAGAAAATGAATGAATGAATTGATCATATTAGAATGATTTCTTATGGACCATGTGACACTAAAGGCTGGAGCAGCAATGCCAAAAATGTCCAAATCATACAGTGTAATCATCCACTCTTGCTGATTTTCATCCGTGATGGACACATTACACTCCTTTTCCTAATGTCAACAGGCAAGAATTAAGAGAAAGCATTTACAATCAGTTTAATTCAAGAAGAACACAACGCACACATTGAAAATCATTATTCAAAGTTACCCATTTTCATTTAAAACTTTAATTTAACAGATGAATTAAATTGTTTTTTTTAAATATTACAAAATAAATGCTGCTTTATTTATTTTTTATTCTACCAAAAATGACAAAGTATAATGTCTTCCAAAATTAGTTTTTTATTCTATTTATAATTAAACTGAAATTCTTGAGCAGTGGATCATATTAGGGGCGACGCAGTGGTGCAGTAGGTAGTGCTGTCGCCTCACAGGAAGAAGGTTGCTGGTTTGAGCCTCGGCTGGGTCAGTTGGCATTTCTGTGTGGAGTTTGTATGTGCTCTGTAAAACATATGCTGAATAAGTTGGTGGTTCATTCTGCTGTGGCGACCCCAGATCAATAAAGGGAATAAGCCGAAAAGAAAATGAATGAATGAATGAATCATATTAGAATGATTTCTCATGGACCATGTGACACTAAAGACTGGAGCACCAATGCCAAAAATGTCCAAATCATACAGTGTAATCATCCACTCTTGCTGACAGAAATAAATTTAAGTTAAATTTATGTTTTATTAAATGTTATAAATATTTCACAATTTTACAGTGTGAAACAAACTGGTGAGAAAAAAAAAGTGTTTTAAAAAAACTATTCCTGCCAAATCCTAGCTTTAGAATCTAATTAATAAGTCTTTAACCCTGATATTCACAGTATAGAATAAAACTTTTTTAATAAAACACACTTACATCAGTCTTCCCACTTCTCCTCACTGTGTCTTTCTGCGGATGCTGTCGCCCATTTTCAGGACAAGAATGCAAAGATTCAGAAGTCTCCAATAATCTCTGTGGTGGAAGAGTTACTAAAGAAAAATACAATAATATTCATGTTAAAAATTTCACAAAGACAACTTAATTTTCCAATCTAAAGACATAGGTAACTTTTTTCAGTAGAAGATTGAATATTTTTAGCTAAAACCCTAAACCGCTAGTCATTTGTGATTCAATGAAATCAAAAGTATGACGTCTTATGAAGGTGAAATGGTCTGTCTGTGCAAGTAATGTAATGTATTTTTTATTTAATGCCATGTCAGCAACCAAGGCTATTTTCATGGCAGGAATCTTTCAACAATAAATATACAATTTAAAAATCAACAAACAAAATAAAACATAAATTAAATAAGATTTTTTGTGTTAATACGTTAAAAATGTCCTTAAAAGAGTTCATTTCATAAAAAAAGTCTTCTGGAATCAGTAAAGCAGCACAGTCCAGTAAAATGTGTTTTATAGTAAGAGGAGTTTTGCAACACAAACACTGAGTAGGGTTTTCACCTTGGAGCAAAAAACCATGTGTTCTGTCTGTGCAAGAACCAAGCATTATGAGTAGCATCACCACCTTTAATCCATAACTAGCAAATCAGATATTTGTTCACGATCTAAAAGAATCACATTGCAGAAAAGAGTGTAAGTTATGTTCATTTGCTTGCATGGACCAAATTGACTTCCTTAAGATATCACCAAAAGCCACAAGTATTAATTTTGTGTTGCCTGTATATATTTATTTTTGATTTTCTCTATGACAGTAGTAACCACCATGAACCAAGGGCCACACTCTCAGCTAAAAAAGCTTAAACGTTCAACTGAAGAAAAGAGTCTTGCTGTGTTGAGGATGAGCAATTTAAAGGGATAGTTCACCCAAAAATGAAACCTCTTACTATTTACTCACACTCAAGTGGTTCTAAACTTGTTTATTTATTTATTTCTGCTGAACACAAAAGAAGATATTCTGGAGAAAGCTTGTCATTGACATCCATAGTAGACACTAATGTAGTCAATGTTTTTTTTGTCAACATTCTTGTCAAATCCGGTATTTCTCAAGTATTTCTTTCTTTGTGTTCAACAGAAATCAATAAAATTTAAACAGGTTTGCAACAAATGCAGGATGTGTAAATTACAACCCAGGCTCATTCTGAAAACGTAGTCCAGCGGACGTTTCTGGAGACCGCGAAATACGTCCTGGGAGGTACGTATTTGTGCAGTTTTTGTTTTAGCGAATCCGCGAGAGACCGCTGTGTGCACTTTTTCGTATCTCGAACGTCTCTCGCGAGTGCTGTTCGCGCACGCGCTGTTCTCGCGTCAACCCACCAGAGGCTTCTGTCTGACTAACCGAATGATTGACTGCGCGACCGGCCAATCAGCTGACCCACCCTCATCCTTCCCTGAACCCAACCAGTTTTACCGATTGACCCGCCCGCCCTCTCACTTCCCTAAACCCGAGCAACAATTTAGAAAAGCCGTCTAGAAAAAGAAAAGCCCTCGTCTGTTTTTATTTATTTATTTTTTAAACCACCTTTTCAGATTTCACCACGTTCTCACCCTGTTATGAACTTTATTTTTTGGATTCTGTTTTTGTCTTATCTGATTTCTGGAACCGCTCTTCCCCAGACTTGAACCCGGATGCCTTTGTCAACTCCTCCTCTCTGCATCTGAAGTCCGCCGACGCACACGATGAGCTGACGGGACAAACTGATTGCAGCGGGAAAGCCCTCCATACGGAGGTAAGCACACAGCCCCGTAGCGTTCACTTAAAAAAATGAAATGCAGCCATACGTACCTCCCGGGACCTATTTCGCGGTCTCCAGAAATGTACGCTGGACTACGTTTTCAGAATGAGCCTGGGTTGGTAAATTATGAATACTCAATTATGAATACACAATATTGGGTGAACTATCCCTTAAAGGTTCAGGACACCCTGGAGAACTTTTTTTTTTATATTAACAGATGTGTGTGTGTTGAGCATCAGTTAAGACAATGTTAGCACCTGTCAGCTTTAATTGTGGGGAAAACTGGATCATTTTGAGCTTTTGTCAGCTAATTTCAGCTTCCGGGTTTAAAATAATTTTTGGGAGGGATCAAAATCGGCGACGTAGCACAGAACTGCAAGTGCAATGATGATGCGTCAGTTTCTCATTATTATTCATAGCGGAGTTTTCTTATCCTATGAGAAGAGCCGGCTGCTTAATTATTCATGAGAGCACGTGCTTTCCGAAGGCAGACCTGCCAGTTTCAAGCAAGCTGTGAGACAGAAGGCACGTAGCCGTTAATGAAGGATCGTATGTGTTAGTTTCCATGATCCGCGGGGTTTGTTGCATGTTTTTCCACGTGATCCTGTCAGGGCCGATCATACAGCAAAGCTGTGTATGTGCTGCAAGCATTTTTGTCGGGAGAGCAGCATGAGAATTAGAGAATGGCGGACGTTGACTTTTATCAGGAGTTCGTTCACATTCAGACACATCACTGTGCTGCTGTGTTTGCCTAAATCCTCTAGATTACCAGCAGGGCTAATGGTTAAAATAGACAGGTCAGGAGACCTGCTGCACTGAGTCTGCATTCAAGATCTATAATTTAGACATGGGGATCGAGGGAGAGTCCACATTTATAGTGTTTACATAAACACACTTATCTTTATAATGATATAAATTGTGGTTATGTGTACATGAAATTACGAATAACAAATGAAGCAGGGCATTAAATTACTGTTTATTTCTTTGCATTTTAACTTTGTGAACTATTAATCATGCATCTTTTGAAAAAATTCTGAAGTAGACTTTAACCGAAAGTGGGGGGTGTCATGGCCCTTTAAACAGATGTTCTTTGTAGGGTGAACTATCTTATTACATTAGGAAATAAAACAGGCGCACTTTATATTTAGTAGCCTTAACTACTATGTATTTATATTTAGATGCAAATACAATGTACTTAATGTGTTTATAATATATTCCAGAACAATAGAGGTGGGATAGGGGTCTGGTTTGGTGGTATGGATAGGTTTAAGAGTGGGTTAAAGTGTAAGAGATGGTCAACAGTGTAATTATAAATGTAGCTCCAGAAATCAATTACAGATGTATTTCCATGCAGGTAGCCATCAGTACAATGTAAAAAAAACGTATTTACACATTAAGTACACAGCACCAAGTTATTAATTTCAGTGTCAGTACATATTAAGGTCACTTAATATAAGTGGAACCAAAAAGCAATCCTTTCAGGCCATGAAGTTGCTTTTATTGAAATCAGTGACTGGATTCGTCTGTATATGTTTAAAAGACAAAGGAGCTGTTTGTGAATGAGTTTGGTCTCAGCGCTGGACTTACCCTGCAGGGAACAGTAATGATCTGACAGATGATCCTCTTCTGCTTCTCTAACACACAGATCCTAGAGTTAAAGAGGCAAAAGCAGATCATTAAAACACTGCACATCCAAAGACAACAGCTATTGTGTGCAGTGTAGAGTGTTAGAATTAGATTACACTGCAAAGCAGAGCGGGGACGTCATCTCCACTGGTGACACTTTTCAACAATTTTCTAAATCCAGTTTGTGCCCCCGTAATTTTTTATGATTGTTTTTTTTTGTTTTTCTTGTTGTTTTTAGGTGAAATGTTTATTTAAAGTTATCAAAATGAATGTACAATGTGCTTTCAGAGATATAATCAGTAGTGATGGGTTGTTCTTGAACGATTCGTTCATTTTGAACGAATCTTCAATATGACTCGGGAACCTTTCAGGGAGTGATTCGTTTGTGCAGGTGGTATCATTCATTTCAAGTCTTTTGAGTCGCTCATTGAGGAAAGGCAGAAGCCAATCATATGCGTTTAGAGCCGGAAAAAGAATTGATCTGTTCATCTCTCGAGTTCTCTATCAGGTCTGGGTCATTCGTTCATCACGGGCCAATCATATGCGTTTAGAGCCGGAAAAAGAATTGATCCGTTCATCTCTCGAGTCCTCTATCGGGTTTGAGTATTCTGTCACGTGATGAATGAACGACTCAAGTATCAGAAGACTCAAAAGGTGAACTAATTATCATAGCTCCTATCAGCTCACACTGTGTACATTGGTTAAGATTATATGTGACTGTCAGTGTAACGTGAACGAACCACTGACATTTGAACACATGAAGAGGTGAGCTGAGCAAAGAGACAATACCTTCATAGACAAAAGACCAGGTAAACATTGAAATATTATTTTCTCCTTCTTATAGTTTTCTATTTATGACTTATTTGTTGTGTGATCAACCTTTTGGGCTAGTTGTAGATGAGTTTGGAAGCAATTTGTAACATTTTAATAATATTTTGGCAAATTGAACCAAATGAACGAAATGACTCGGAAAAAGATTTGTTCATCTCGGTGAACGAGACTCAAAGATCTGAGTCAGTAAAATGATCCGAACTTTTCATCGCTACTAATCAGAGGCAAGATTTACAAAGGGCGAAGCAGTGGCGCAGTAGGTAGTGCTGTAGCCTCTCAGCAAGAAGGTCGCTGGTTCGAGCCTCGGTTTGAATGTTCTCCCTGCGTTCGCATGGGTTTCCTCCGGGTGCTCCGGTTTCCCCCACAGTCCAAAAGACATGCGGTGCAGGTGAATTGGGTAGGCTAAATTGTCTGTAGTGTATAAGTGTGTGTGTGAATGTCTTTGTGGATGTTTCCCAGAGATGGGTTGTGGCTGAAAGGGCATCCACTGCGTAAAAACTTGCTGGATAAGTTGGCGGTTCATTCAGCTGTGGCGACCCCAGATTAATAAAGGGACTAAGCCGACAAGAAAATGAATGAATGAAGATTTAAAAAAGAATGTACAATGGGTTATAGTCTAAAATCAAATCATAAACAACAGTAGCAAATTGGTTAACTAAGTATTTACCAAATAAATAAATTCAAGAATTTATAAGCGCAAAATAATAATAAAGAATTTATAGTAATCCTAAAAAATTAAAAATAAAAATAGGTAAATAAATCAATGGATAGATGGAGGTGAAATAAAAGAAGAAAAAGGAAACATCTCACCAGCTAAAAGTAATAATATTGGTGACTAATGAAGAACAAATAGTTCCAATAAAAAAAGACAATATGCAAATAAAAAGCCATCAGCCTTTTGATTTTTTGCGATCACGATATATTAAAGACACAGCACTTTGATTTTATGCCACCAGGTTAAACTTTCTGACACCTTTACCTAACTCACATACATTAAAAATAAATACAGAGCACAGCTGAACATGGAGGTTGATCTCCGAGTGGCGTTCTTCACAATTAAATGATGGGCCTATTGTGCGCCGGTTTACATATTAATAACCACCTCAGAAGATATTGGAGGTTGCGAGCACACTGACATTGTTATTTGGGGGGCTGAAAAGTTCGGGAACCCCTGCTTTAGAGGATCAACATCTGTAAAATGACAGATCGACAAACATGATCTATGCTCCTTTGCATGGCTTAGTCAGATTGTATAAAACAGGGTTGGCCAGCCCTGGTATAGAATTTGTGTAGAAAAGCTGTTTTTAAGCTGGAGAAGCGGCCCCCGTAATGAATTCAGCAGGAATGAGGGGGGAAAAAAAGGCAGTTCATTCTTTGCACTCCTGTGGTCTTAAACTCAATTGTTTCCAGACACATCGCAGTGCTGGTTTCAGAGGGAGGAAGTGAATTAAACTCCATGACAAAACAGCTCAACATCATCTGCGATCCTTCCTGACTCCACTCTGTCCCTGTTATTCCAGCATTAAACACCACTGCACATGTGCTTCACAGCAGAGCAACATATCAAATGTACTCCTTATCTTTTTATGCATTAAAAGTACAAAAGAAGTCTTAAAACTGTTCATCAATAAATGTTTATTTTGTGAGAAATTTAAATCACATGCTGAAAACTACAACTGATGATTTAAAAAAGCTGTACTGTCTCTGTAAAAACTGGCAAATCAGAAAAACGTTGACTAGATATTTGCTGTAATTTCATGAATCTGCCAATCATTAAAGGTTCAAGACACCTTGGAGTACCTTTTTTAAGATGTTGACAGATTTGTGAGTGTTGAGCATCGGTTAAGACAACGTTAGCACCTGTCAGCTTTAATTGTGGGGAAAACTTTTGGGGCAGGATTAAAATCAGTGACGTATCGCGAATCTGCTAGTGGAGTGAGGGCGCATCGGTTTTTCATTATTCATTGCGGACTTTTCTTATCCTATAAGAAGACCATCATTAAACAAAGACTTGCTCTGACTGGATCACTTGAATCAGTGAATCCTTACCTGGAGACTTGTTCTGACCTACTCATCTAAACAACCTGGGCTCATTGTGGAAACGTAGCCCCGCGGATGTTTCTGCGGACCGCGATTTACGTCCCGAGAGGTACATATTCGAGCGGTTTTTGTTTTCGCGGATCCGCGAGAGGCTGCTGTGCGTGCTTTTTCGCGTCTCGGGCACCTCTCGGGAGCACGCGCTGTTCGCGCCCGCGCCGTTCTCGCGCAAAAAGCCGCCGGATCGGCCGACTCGGCCGCCCTCCTCTTCCTCCTCCTTCCCTAAACCCGAGCGACGGTTCGCAAAAGCCCTCGTCTTCGATTTCGACCACGTTTTCGGATCCCGCCGCGTTCTCGCCCTTATTTTTCAGATTCCGTTTTTCGCCTTACCTGATTTCCGGAACCTGCTGTTCCCCGGACTCGATCCTGGTCGTCGTCCACCGCGGCCGGCTCCTCCTCCTCCTCGTCCGGGGCCTCCGCTCCGCCGACGCAACGGCGGGAGCTAAGCGGACAAACTGATTGCATCGGGAAAGCCCTCCACTCGGAGGCGAGCCGTTGGCTGGCTAGCGCGAAGAGAAGGGGCGAAGCGGTGCCACACCGCCCCGCAGCGTTCGCTTGAAAAAAACCAAACGCGGCCTTTACGTACCTCCGGCCACGTAAATCGCGGTCTCCAGAAACATCCGCGGGGCTACGTTTCCAGAATGAGCTTGGGTTGCATCTAAATCATTCATTCATTAATTTTCTTGTCGGCTAAGTCCCTTTATTAATCCGGAATGAACCGCCAACTTATCCAGCAAGTTTTTACGCAGCGGATGCCCTTCCAGCTGCGACCCATCTTTGGGAAACATCCACAAACACATTCACACACACACTCATACACTACGGACAATTTAGCCTACCCAATTCACCTGTACTGCATGTCTTTGGACTGTGGGGGAAACCGGAGCACCCGGAGGAAACCCATGCGAAGGCAGGGAGAACATGCAAACTCCACACAGAAACGCCAACTGAGCCGAGGTTCCAACCAGCGACCTTCTTGCTGTAAGGCGACAGCACTACTGCGCCACTGCCTCGCTCATCTAAATCAGTGTATCTTTAACGTGAAATACACTCTGACTGGATCAGCTGAATCATTAAATGGAGATTGCTCTAGCCGGGTCTTTTAAATTATAATCTCAAGACTCTGACCAGATCACTTACATCAATCAACATCGGTGGTTGGGGAAAACCGCTCTCCTACTCCATCATGTTACGGCGGGTCCTATTTTAACGTCAGTACATTTTAAAATAGAGTATTGTGTTTTTATCACTCCAGTAAGACTGTGGACACTATACCTACACACAGTCCTCTCCAACAGCTTACAGAAGATCATTTTCATCATAGGTTCCCTTTAACCTCCTAGGGCTTAGTGGCCACATACGTGGACAGCACATTTTAGCTCTTAAGTGGCTATTTAAAATACGTGTTTTATATTACAGACATACAGTCTCATCCTGCAACTGTTTTGCAGCATATGAAATGTCCCAAACATTATTTTTTTTTATTACTTATTACATTGTTTTTATTCTCTGATAGTCAAAACATGTTCAAAAAATGTTAAATATTCATTACAAAACAGTCAGGGAAAAGTGTTCTATGTAAATTCGGACCACGAGTCCACATATATGGACATCAATTTTCTCTAAAAGTGCATCATATCAAAAGATGATCCTTGGGTTTTATTCTAATTAGGTTCCAATAAGCCCAAAAAGCAAAGAGGAATAAAAAATGCATGTAAAAAACACCTTAGGCCTTAAGAGGTTAAATGCTTATAATGTTTTCCAGAAGTCAATCTATGACGCATCTATAAAATCTTTCTCCCTCTACTAAATCACATCTTTTTTAAGCAAACATATCCAACTGTGCAAGCAATCTCTCTGCGTCATGCAGAACCTGCTGTCTGACAGCCGGCTGAAGAACAAAGGCTGTGTTAGTGGATGAGTGATCTATCAGAGTCTGCCAGTGATTTCTGTCATCATGATGGCCGAGTCTCAGCCACGCTCCGTCGGCTCCAGGCACTTTGATCTGGGCTCAGATTTCTAGCTCAGAGGGCTTTATGCGGGTGTCAGACGCCCCTCAATATGCTTTTCTTACTTAGTGTTTTTCTCTTATTT